CCTTGCAGATGACCACAGTGCATGGAGACAGTCAGGTTCACCATCCATAGCAATGACCAGAGGAGAAATGACGGCTGGGAGGAGGAGCGCAGAGAGAAAAAATGTCACGGTGCATCTGCAGCAGCTCAACCAGACACCTTCATCTGCCCTACCTGCAACAAAACATTCCCTCCTGTATCGGTCTCTGTGGCCACAGCAGGCGCTGTAAGCTTCCAACAGGGCACACTGGGTCTTAGTAATTATGGCATCCTTTTCGAAGTGCTCACAGACTGTCTGTTTTATTATCTGTTCTGGGACCTTTCCTGGTATTAATGTCGCGCTGACCGGTTGGTAGTTATCTAGGTCTTCTCCCCCCTCCCCCTTTTGAAGATGTAATCTGTCTATAGATTAAAGACACAAGCTCATTAAGTACCCTAAAGTGCAGCTCCTCAGGCCCTGGAGATTTGAATTCATTTAACATAGCTAGGTGTTCCCTTGCCACCTCTTTTCCTATCACGGGCTGCAGCTCCCTCCTTGCATCATTTATTCTGTTATCACCAGGTTGTGCACTGCTTTCCTTTTGGGTGAAGGCAGAAGAATATATACCATTGCATTACTTGGGGGTGGGGGGAGGCATTCCGAACTTCCCGCTGGAACTCAATTTCACAGCTAACAATGCTTCAAAACAGTTTAATATGCCACTGTGAGCCCTCTTTTCAAAATCAATTTCAGAAATCACTGGGAGCTGCTCTGATAAATTATTTCTCCTGGGAACCAAAACTTCTTGTCCTGATTCCCTAGATCTGTAGTAATGACTGGAGAAAGGTAGTAAGCATTAATGCTTCACCAGAAGTATTTGTCTTCTCAATGAATTGCTAAAAGGAATTTCAGGTGACATGGCGACATATTTAATATATTTAAGAAAATTTACATACCACGTGATTGCAATAAATTCTCCAACTGGTTTACAATAAATATAAAATCGGCAATAAAAACTGCTACCCAATAAAAGCATTTTGAAATAATTAAAATTAACATTAAAATATATTAAAGCACATCAGCATGTGTTTTAATGGACTCACCTGACAAAAATGCTTCAAGCAGGTTCAGTGAGGACAGCAGTGTTGCCAGCCAATGCACCTCCCTATCGACATCAGGCTGACACCTTTGCTGCCATACTCAAAGTTAAATTTCTTACAACTGCAAAACAAGACTTGCGTGGCACCTGTAATACTGCCAGCACCACAGATACGCCAACCAATCACCTAGGACAGCAGTTCTCAACCTGTGGGTCCCTAGATGTTGCTGGACTACAACTCCCATCATCCCTAGCTAGCAAGGCCAGAGCTCAGGGATGATGGGAGTTGTAGTCCAACATCTGGGGACCCACAGGTTGAGAACCGCTGACCTAGGAGGAGCTAGCCAGACTGTACTTCTTAAGGCACGTTATGACACAAGGCAAGTTGGTAAACCCTTTGTAATTCATCTGAACGTGTCAGGAAGAATGCTTGGCACCCCAGAATAGGACTGCTTTGCTGGAAACTTGTTTTCCTGAGAGCACATGGAAGTTAAGTTTTATTAAGAGCTCATCTGATACAAAATATTTCCATAACGAAATATCCCCAAGGCTTAATCACCACTATACTTAAATCATTTGAACTGAGCCAACCCCAACTCCTGAAAAGAATTCTGTAAATCTGTATAAAGGTGTTAGTTTGATGCATCTGTTTACTTTATTTGGTGGGCGGTGTTGCAGCCAGGCCCTGGGTCCTGTGTCATCTGGCCAAGGGATGGAGACTGGCGGGCTTCCTGCCGTTGCCTCCCCGTGCTGTTGGAGCTTCTCCAACCGAGCTTCTCCAACCATTCAGCACCAAAGGGGGGCACGTCCACAGGGGATTTAAACTCCAGCACAGCAAGGTCAACTGGCCTCTTTTATTGTGAACCAATCAGTACACTAATTTTGGCAGCTGATGGCAAGCAAAAAGGTTTGGGTACAGCAGGGAGCACTAGCACGAGATCAGACAAGCTCCTACTTTTGAGTGGGTTCCCGCAGCAGCTGAAAACATTTTAGTCTTGCTAAGATGATGCCAAGGCTTCAAGATACTCCAAGTATTTTGAAATGGTTGATTTTAAGTTTCGTCAAGCTAGGTATGTTGGTATTTCCTATTGTATACTTTGTGTTAAGCTGTAAACCACCCTGTGACCTTGTGCTGAAGGGAAGGATACAAATACAGTGGTACCTCGGTTTACAAACTTAATCCGTTCCGGAAGTCCATTCTTAAACCTAAACCGTTCTGAAACCGAGGTGCACTTTCCCTAATGAGGTCTCCCACCACTGGTGCCCTTCCACTGTTCAGATTCCGTTCTTAGACCGAGGTAAAGTTCTCAAACCGGGACACTATTTCCGGTTTTGTGGAGTTTGTAAACCAAATCGTTCTTAAACCAGACTGTTCTTAAACCAAGGTACCACTGTACTGAAAAGAAATATATCAGATAATAAAACAAACAGGTGACTGCTGACTGACAAAGAAACAGATGCAGGACATGGAACACCAGAGGTAAGGAAATGTTGCTACAGGTTGCTCATTATGTGCAACTCTAAACTATTTTTGCCAAATTAATCACCTTCATATGCTCAGGCCCAGTTTTTAGCCTCAAACACACCAAGGTCAATCAGTGATAATATATATATATATAGTCCTTGCATTCCACTTCAGTTTTCCCCTTCAGATTCCATCCCAGAATGTAGATGCTAATGTCAGGTGAGCCTGCTTTTGAGCCAACAGAGCTCTATAGATAATTCATAATCCTGTTTATCTCTGCTACCTTGTCAGGAAGCCCTTCTTCACCTACACTGACTCCCAACAGCATTATCTAGCTGCAAGGACTGCTCCACTGATGTGTCAATAGCTTTCCCACATTTACTTTGCCAATAAATTGATATTTGAAAACAGCAACTGCATACTCAGCTTTTTCATACGTGCTGTTAAAGGATATCCAGAATGCACACAAAAGGGTATCCCTCTCAGCGGCGTAGCGTGGGTTGTCAGCACCCGGGGCAAGGCAAGTAATTTGCGCCCCCTAACCCGTGGATTTGCACCCCCTAACCTGTGGATTTGCGCCCCCTAACCCATGGATTTGCCCTAACCCCAGATGTTGCACCCGGTGCGGCCGGCCCCCCCTGCACCCCCCACGCTACGCCACTGATCCCTCTTACAGCATGGAAGCATTTTCACTTCATTAATGTTTAATTATTGTAAGACTTTTTTATAGTTTTAATAAACACGTCACTAAGTGTGAGACGACCTTATAAATTAGAGACCCTGCTACATTATCTGTTTCTCATGAGTGTGTGTATGTGTTTGATTTGAGAAGTTCAAACTTGTCTGAAGGGTGGAAAATAAAAATGAAAGTGCTTCTACAGGCCTACTGTTGTAACTGTTATCAGATTAGCTTTTAACTTGTAGGTTTTAATCATGCTTTATATTGATTTTTAATTCCTTTATGAAAAACAACAACAATAGTTACGATTTTACAAAATGTTTAAAAGACTGGAATTAAATAGAACATCTGCAGAACTAGTTACAAAATGTCTGCAAAATTAAATGCAAAATTAAATGCAAATTGCATTCTATTTCAAAGGGAATTTGCAAAATCAAAAATTAAGGTGGCGGGGGCGGAAGAAGTCCTTCCTTTACAGTCGTACCTTGGTTGTCAAACGCCTTGGTACTCGGATGTTTTGGCTCCAGAATGCAGCAAACCCGGAAGTGAGTGTTCCGGGTTGCGAACGTTTTTTGGAAGCTTCTGATTGAGTGCCGGAAGCTCCCGCAGCCAACTGGAAGCCATGCCTTGCTTTCCGAACTGTTTCGGGAGGCGAACAGACTCCGGGAACAGATTAAGTTCGACAAGCAAGGTATGACTGTATTCAGTAAGTGCTTGCCAATTTGTTCTAAATTTATATTGTTTTTCTTTTTATATCTCACACAATGAGCTAAGCTGGCTATTGATTTGGTCTCTGTCCTTCCCTGAGACTGCAAAGTGTAGGTCAGAAATATAATATAAATAAATAATATATTTTATTTACAAATGAGGAAACAAAACAGAAAGTGCCAATCAGCTGTGTTATACCAAAAGCATCACTTTGCTTGGTCAGTAAGGCAACGTTTTTCATCTCCGGGCTTACTCCCTAACACAAGCTTTCACTGATTCATATATTACTGCCAAGCTAACCCTGACTTTGGACCTCATACACATAAGCAGTCTGAGAAAGCCTGAAAACATTGTTCAATACAGAAAACAATATTGTGGAGGCAGGTCCAGAAGGGGAAAGTGCATTTTGGAGATAGAGAAGCTTTGTCCCATACATTAGATTTTTGTAAGAGCCAAGGTAGTATACTTATATATTTTCACATTCATAATCTGAAGCAGGGGTGCCAACTTGAATAAAATATTGGGGGGACGACCCAAGTATGTCCCACCTCTCATAATCGATAACAACATGTGGTGAGTGCACACCCTTTGAATGGTAATGTCCATTAACTTTGGGGGGCGTGCCTCAGATATTTTATTGGGGGGGATGCGAAGGGATCTCAGCTCCAAGGAGTTGGCTTCTACGATCTGAAGCCATAAAAGTGGTATACAAGATAAAAATGGAAATAAAACACACACACATACACAAAACCAACTTCTAAAAATAACAAGAACATTTCTAAGGTAAAGGTAAAGGTACCCCTGCCCGTACGGGCCAGTCTTGACAGACTCTGGGGTTGTGAGCCCATCTCACTCAAGAGGCCGGGGGCCAGCGCTGTCCGGAGACACTTCCGGGTCACGTGGCCAGCGTGACAAAGCTGCATCTGGCGAGCCAGCACAGCACACGGAACGCCGTTTACCTTCCCGCTGGTAAGCGGTCCCTATTTATCTACTTGCACCCGGGGGTGCTTTCGAACTGCTAGGTTGGCAGGCGCTGGGACCGAGCAGCGGGAGCGCACCCTGCCGCGGGGATTCGAACTGCCGACCTTTCGATCAGCAAGCCCTAGGCGCTGAGGCTTTTACCCACAGCACCACCCGCGTCCCAAGACCATTTCTACAGACGTCCAAAACACGACTGGGCCACAACTCACGAAAAATGCCTTCTGAAACAAAAGTGTGTTCCATAGGTACCTAAACAACACTGTTAGGCGCCTGTCTAAATTTCGCTGGTAACTGGTTTCAAACTTGAAGTTACTAATGCTAGGGCCCAAAGAAGCCAAGCTATCTCGGCATAGGAATGGCTCTGGTTGTCCTACACCCAAATCTGTTAAAAGGCACTCCTGAGTAACCCATCTCCTGGGTATGGAAACCACCCACCCACACGTTTTCCCTGAAGTCTACTCGATTCTGATGGAGTTAACTAGAAAAGTAAGGAGCATCTTGGGACCGCAGCAGTCTTATTCCTAATTCAGTCACAATTTTTATGTGAAAATGATGCCCTCCAAGTAAAAAGGGCAGCTACTAGCTTGCTCACCCTCCTTCCTTCTGGCACTGCTCTTAGATATTCTCCTTTCAGGGGGAATAATCAGCAAGAAAAAGCTAGACTGTGTGAAGTATTGAGTCTGGCTCTGTCTCCTAGGCATTATCTAATGAAACATGGTGGCCACTCGCTTTATTCTGTAGATACCAAGGGCATTTTGACAGACAAGCTTGAGAAATAAATAGTTTCAAAAGCTGTTCACATCTGTAGTCTTGAGCCTGTTGTTTCTCATCTAGGATTTGGCTAGCTCTGCATCAAATATTTGCATTTCATTTGTGGGGGGGGGAGAGAGAGAGCTACAAGTTCAAAAATAATGAACTTCGTTAAAAAATGACAAGGAGAAAAAACACTAGGGCTTATCATTCGGGAAAATATGGGTAGAAAACTGTATCTGCTCTCTGTGGATAAAGCAACAGATAATTCACGTTATTTGAACAGAAGTCTGTCTCCTACTGATACGAATGCCAGGCTGCTACTGTACTTCAGATGCAGTTTAGTAATTGCATATACCAGCAAATATGTTTTGTTATCAGACTTGAGAGATTTTGGTTTTGCTTTCTTTAAAAAGACACCCTTGGTGAGCTATATTTGGATGACCACAAGTCAAGGCTGGTATTTTTTATTTAACAGAGGTGAAGTTCTTTCGTTTTCCAAGAGATTGTGCCTTACTTTAAAATTTCTCTGATCTGTTGTGAGTTGTGTCAAACTGAATTGTTCCTAAAACATATTCTGTTCTTTTAGAAATGCCATCAAACTGCGGCAAAGGGATCAGCATGCCATTCTACTTTAGTGTTTGAATGTTATTACTTCATTCTACCAAATTTAATCATCAAACTCATTCATCTCATGAGATGGTAATTTTCGTGCAAGTGCAATTATATTTCACAGCAGGACAGCTGATTAGGCAGACAGAAAAAATAATTCATCAGGAAATTATAAAAAGAATTAATCGTCAACAACTTGGATAGTGAAAATCGCTGCATGCTGCAGTTTTGCTAAATATTTTAAGACCTTCATTCTCACCATACCTTAATGGGGAGCAGTATATATTCACCAACAAATAAGGAAAACATAACCCATAATTAAAGTTTACATTTCTATTTGTGCTGGAAAGATGGCACTCTTTAAATATATTTAAATGATAGTGATGGTACCTCCAGTGATAAACAAGATGTTTCATGAGCTCCAACAATAAAATCCTTAAAAAAAGGAAAAAATGGCATTACACAAAACACTGCTACTAATTCATTTTTTACTGTCATATTTCATACAGATTTAACTGCCATACAGTGCACCCTCTGTACTTAAAATACAAATGACAATGTTTCAGTGACTAGGGCTAGACTAGTGCCTTCCTAAAATACACCCATAATTGTTTTAAGAATAAGAAAACACTTATGAAAATCAGTTCTATGGCCCATTCCCTACATCTTTATACTAAATCACTAGCAATAATTAAGCAATATCTGTATCTATAGTTAAAATTTAGATTTAGTGACTGGAATGTAGGAAATTTATACAAATTGTGTGCGAGACACAATGAGTATATACTGTACCTTTGTAACAGAAGGCAAGGTGTTCAAAATAGCCCCCTCAGCTGTAATCATATGCATCGAAATCCTCGTTTTTCTTATCGTAATACGGTTTCTTTGTATCTAATTTTCTCGAATCTTCGTTTGCTTCTTCATTTTGATCTAAAAATTAGATAAGTGTTTATTCAAATATGAAAGCCAGCTTCACATTGGTCTTGCAGTTAACAGTGTCTCTCCTCTGAACTCGGTGCTTCCGAGTATTGACTAAACTGTATTTCTCGATAACTGTAAATGCAATAAATTAACATGAAGATTATTTCACAACACGAGTACCTCTATAAGTAAAAGGTGCATACGCCTTCAGTTGGTTTCAGGCAATAGGAGCCTTGCTTGCTACCATCCAAAACTATATTTTTTTCTATGGGAACAGCACCAGGCTTTGCGAGTTTCTTTGGAAACTTTTTGCAGCCAATATCCACTTTATGTATGTAGCTTGTAAGTACAACTGGGCAGGGTGGGGGGCACAAACAGCCTTACATGAATGGAAAGTTCTCAGACTCCAAGCCACACCCTTGCTTCAGAGTAGTGCCAGTTAGTTCCTACCACTGACTTGAGACTTCAGAGACCCTCATCACTGTGACCCTCTGTACAGCATAAATACCACATTGGTGTTAGGATTGCTTAGCCTGCCTTCCCTACCTTAAAGGTAAAGGTAAAGGTACCCCTGCCCGTACGGGCCAGTCTTGACAGACTCTGGGGTTGTGCGCCCATCTCACTTAAGAGGCCAGGGGCCAGCGCTGTCCGGAGACACTTCCGGGTCACGTGGCCAGCGTGACAAAGCTGCATCTGGAGAGCCAGCGCAGCACACGGAAACGCCGTTTACCTTCCCGCCAGTAAGCGGTCCCTATTTATCTACTTGCACCTGGGGGTGCTTTCGAACTGCTAGGTTGGCAGGCGCTGGGACCGAGCAACGGGAGCGCACCCCGCCGCGGGGATTCGAACCGCCGACCTTTCGATCGGCAAGCCCTAGGCGCTGAGGCTTTTACCCACAGCGCCACCCGCGTACCTTACTTTCCTCTAATGTTAGAACTGTTGCCCAGACTCTCCTGACCACTCTTGTACAGCATTCCTATTACTGCTACGTTACCTCCATTCCCAAACTCCCAACTAGTACCTCACTCTAAACTCCTCTTTTTCTCCCACTGGACACCTTCTTTCTCAATGTGGTGAGAGCACTGGGAGGCCAGCTGCTTTTGCCCAGTCCTACATGCTCCCACCCCTCTCCGTCCATCCATATGTACTGCTGGTTGGCTAGTGCAATGGCCCATTCTAGAACCCCTTAGAGACAGGTTCCTCTAGTAACTGCAGCTCCCCTGGTCTGTCCTTTGTGGGTCCATGAGGCCATCACTCCCACTGCTCTCAACTGAGCCCCAAGGAAACATCTGTGAACAGATTTCGGTGGTTGGTCCACAGACTCCTTGAAGGATCAAGGGAGCCCTGATGAGACTTCCACAGAGGTCAAAACCCCCTTAACCTGAAGTACCCTGCAGCAGAAGACATCAGCCCATCTAACTGTCCAGGGGTCATCATTGGGGAGGGGCTCTGGTCAATATCTACCTAGCCCTGCTGTAAAACTCAGTCAGTTGCTTCAAGGCCTTGCTGATTCAATGTGGCCTCAGCTGTTAGGAGCGCTGTCTGCGGTCCTGAACTGAAACACATTCATTTCCAAGGAACTTCTGACCTTCCCTTGCTTGGGTTACCATCCCAAGGGGAAGGGACAGATCAAAAGGGCAAGAGATGCAAGATAGTATTTGCAAAGTAGATCGAAGGGCTCCAGAAGAAGGAAAGTAGTAATTCACAAGAAAACGAAGGTCCTATATCAGCCTTTCTCAACCTGCGGATCCCCAGATGTTGTTGAACTACAACTCCCATCACCCCTAGCTAGCAAGGCCAGAGCTCAAGAGTGATGGGAGTTGTAGTCCAACAACATCTGGGGACCCACAGGTTGAGAACCACTGCCCTATATGCTCCTCTCATAAAAATAACCCTCTGGGTAGACAAAAGCATTTGGATTTAACTATTGTGTGTGTGTGTGTGTGTGTGTGTGTGTGTGTATTGTATATATCTACATCCTGAGCAATTCTCATCCTTTAATACTATAGATTACGATTCATTTCACTCATTCCGTGAGAAAATATTTTGGATGAATATTTTGAAAAATGGCGGACAAAAAACACCTTCTTTCCCCGACTTCACATGTCTAGTTGTAAACAAAACTTCAGGGGGGAAAGTCCCACATTATATTTAGGCATTCAGGAGGAATTGAGGAAGAGACAAGGAAAAGCTGAATTAAATAAATTTTCCCTGTCTTGTACTCAAGCTTAGCAATATTTTAAATTCTTTTATTATTTAAACAATTTATATACTACTTAATTATAGTCGTCTCTAAGTGGTGTTCAAGGAACTCAATACAATGCAAATAAATATCAGTTAAAATTAGAAATTGAGTTATTGATTTGTTCCTTTGTATTCTGCCTTTGCTCCAGACAACCTAATGGTGTTGTAGATGGTGTGTTTATCAATTTTAACTCTTAGGATTGTTGTGAGGATAATTTTGGTTGGGAGACAGCTGCTGACTCAAGATCACCAGAGACAAGAGAATTAATGATCCTGTTAACAGTGTGTCTACAGTGTGATGTCAGCTTCATGTAATGCCTAGTAAAAATTACCCTATGGCATGACAACACTGTGGACTTCCTTGATTCCAATCACTGGCCGTTTTTGGGCAGGGAAAAACAGCATAACAATATCAAGACATGGGGTAAGTTGTGTTACATGCCATAGCAGGGCAGTGATTTTCAGTTGTTGTTTTTTTTTAAAGAAGTCTGCTTCTACCTAGAAAAACCTAGGTCTCTGTAGGTTGGTTGTCAATGGGACTGGGGATTTTAATACAGCCCTACATTATTCCGTTCACATCTCTAACCTACAAACAGCCACTACCCGTCGGCCTATGCGGTCTCCTATTTCCTTTGCTACACACCTTCCAGCATGTTCAACAAATGAGGCAGAATCCTTCAACTGACGGCTCATTCATTATAAAATGCTAATTCATTCCCAGATTATTGTTAATACCTTTTTTGCCAAACATCTCTGCGATCCCTTAGAGGGGGAAATGTAATCCCATAATCAAAATCATTATAGCAGCACACATAGGCCAGAACGGTCGATACCCTCTCCCATCTATGCTTAAAAATTAGCAAACTTGCATGCTAGTATATAAGTATATGTAATTTGTAGTTAAGCCCCATGCCTTTTAAGAATGCAGCCTTGGAAACATCTGCGCACAACACTCTGGGTGTGGCAAAGCTTTCTTTTCTTTTTATTTAATTGCGATTTGCCCCAAGCCCTGGGAATGACAGAGGCTAGAAAGTGAGATGAAATAAATAATAAATCCATGATCCAATGGGTGGAAGCGTGAGAGCTCAGTGAAAGAAGGCATATGCCTATCAGGAGGAAGGTTGGTGTTTTTTACACATATTCACATTCCTGGAAATGACATAATCATCATTGCTGAAGTTTGCAGCCTGAGGCGGACCTGAAATGTTTCTACAACATGGTGACGGAAATGAAAATAGGATGTTCTGATGAAAAGCGTTAGGCCGCTCTAATAGAAAGCACAGTGCTGCAGCTTCATCTGCAATATAAACAAACTAATACAGAGGACTTACCCTCCTAGCTTCTATAATTATACCTTTTCACTATTGGAAGTAATTGAAAGCACAATGGATTTTTTCTTCTTCTCATTACATTCATAATACTCAGTTATCTACCTAAAGTTAATCAACCAAGAAATGAAAACTATGTGTGAGAGGAAGAGTAAATAGGCTGTTGTCATTATTACACGGATTCTAACATAGTGAGGCTTTGTGCATTACAAAATTAACTTTAGGGTATTTTAGCATCTCTGCCTAAGCCAGCAGACCAAACGCACTGATTACCAACACTAGAGATATTTCAAGGAATGCAATGGATTTTGGGGGAGGAAACAGGAGGAAGAAAATGGAGACTTCTACTCAGAAAAGTAAACGTTATGCACTACAATATATTCTGAGCTGATCTATTATACCCGTATTCAATTCGACACACTAGAAGCAAAAAAAACACAAACGAAATAAGAGGGGAGAAGCTGTTGTGTACCATTATTAGTCAGAAGTCCAGAGTGCTAGCTAGCTGCCCAATCTGGCTGGCACTCCAAGGATACTCTTTAAGCTCCTTCAAGTTTGCTCTACAGGTGGCTGTGCAAAGCCATACAGAGAAAGCAGTTCTGGTGGAAACTAGCTATCCTCATTAACAGGAGGCAAAGTATCTGGAAGGGACAAGAGTTCCAAATGAATGCTAATTCCTAACTCCGAACCATTTGCCAACTCCCGTAGTTTGATTTGGCCATCAGTGAGAGCAGTGTCATTTTTTTCTAGGAAGATGTGCTGGAGCTCACCATGAACACCTCCCTTGTTCTCTTATAATGGCAATGGCGCCCACCTGAGAGGTGCTGGAGCTGAGTTTCCAGCAAGTTTCGGCTGAAACAAAACCCATGAGAGAGAGAACAAAGCAACTTCCCCAATGAGCACAGTCTCCACTTGAAAGTTATCAATAACAGTTAGAATCACTGAATCATAGAGTTGTAGAGTTGGGTGGGACCAAGGTTGTAGCACATGCATAGTGGCATCCCATTTCTGCTCTGGCAGCCAGCACAGCGCATTCTCCCTGTATGTGGCAACTCACCATCCTGGCTGATGACTTTTACATCTCCAGTTGCATCATTCTGCATCAGCTGTTGTTCTGGCATGTTGACAGAGTCCGCTTGGTCCTCTGGCTGATCACTATATCCTGTCTTCTCATTGGGTACAAGGTGTGATGGTTCGTCTTCTTCCTGCATCTCCCTCTCAGGTACAAGTTGTGCCGGTGCGTCTTGTCCCTCCATTTCTGGGGAACCAATGCTGTCTGTATCTCCCTCATTTTCTTTGCTGTCCATTCTGGTAGAGGGACTCTGTGGCACTTCAGCTACAGGGGGTGGTTGAGTGGTGCCATAGACACTACTTGTGTGGCTGTCAGTTCCTACCACAGACCCAGCACTTCCAGCTAATAAAGTCTCCTCACCTGTGAACAAAAAATGTAACTGTAAATGAAATGGAGTCCAGGTAATGAGGAAGTAAGAGCTAAGTGGCGCAGTGATGCAAGGTTCTGGAGCCCTCATCTCACAAGGTCATGATGATCAATGACTGGTGTTACCCAATAGCCCTACTGATGTTCTTTTTGTGCATGCCAAATTTTTATTAAACTTTAAATCTTTAACATATAAATTCCAGATTTCAAATTTGTTATACATTTCTCTTTAAACTTTGACTTCCCACCTTTCCCTGCATGCTGTTCTTAATCCCATCCTATTTGCATACTGCATTCTAATAAAAGTTTCTCCTAAGACGTATCTTCTATTTCATATGTTATCATTTTTCTTCCGCTGCTCATATTGCAAATCCTGCTCGCCATTTCATCCATGTATGATATCTTTTTCAGATATTCATCCTTCCATGAATAGTCCGTAACGTTGGTTTCCTATTTTTTGCTGTTAGTTCCACCAGTTCTGCAAGGTCTATTAGTCTTTCTGATGTTCTTGATCCTCCTGTAATATTGAGGTACGGAATTCTAGATGAATCAAACAAAGCTTTCTTGAGCCAGTTCCAAGTGCCCCTACTATGCAATGGTGCCCAGATTGATCCAGGAAAAAATGACAAATAGGTAACTAATTATCCAGTGTGCCACTGCTCTCAAACAGAGCATAGTTTGAGCTCTTTGGCTTTCTCTAAGCGTGGTACTCTTTTTGGTATGAAACTAATGGATGGGCTGGATAGCAATGTCTCAAGTGGAGAGCTTCTGCTGGTTTTTGTTTCTTTTGCTAAGACAGGATATACCACCTCTTGGGCATATTTATAGTTTGGAAGACCAGGAGACACAATGGCCGCTTGCTGGCACTGAAATCCAACAGCCATATGCTCTTCATCTTCAGCAGTTTCAAGTCCAGGCATTCAGTAAGACAAGCAACTTTCATGCATGAAGGTTTGCAAAGTTGTAATGGCACAGAGAAGTGTGATCGAGCGTGTTGAGACAGCACAGGTGTAGGTCAGAGACCACCCCTGAAAGACCACATGACTATTTTCTAAACTGGCACATAGATTGAATAACATCCATTCCAAAATCATCCATCATCAGGTGGTGTAGTTGCATCCAACAGCTAATCCACTGCTGCTCTGAGACGTGTTCATTTGAATGGTAAGGAGATAACTATATCGGCTGATCCACTCCACAGTGCCCCATAGCAAGAAATGTATCACACATGCTATATTTTCCACAAGGATGTAATCTCTGCAGTAGTGCAGGTACTAGACCCATAGCTTCAAATTGACAAGTATTCTACGTTCTGGATTACACAATGTTGTAACATGGACTCAGCTTCCCTCTGCTGTTGAATAAAGGATGTCTGTGAAGTCCTTGAGTATATTTGTCCAATCAGCAATAACACTGCCCATGTTTCACACTCCAGTTTATCTATTTTTTATATTTATCTAGTCAGTTAGTTTTGACATTGTCTTCTCACTGCATTGTAGCATTACAAGTCCTGGCACATCTTGATTTCATCATCAGCACCAACCCATTCTAAACCACTTATATCTGGGATGTGGGGTGGGATGGGAGAATTATGTCTCCCTATGAGGTGATGCCCTAATGCAGTGATGGCCAAACTTGGTCCTCCAGCTGTGTTAGGACTACAACTCCCATCATCCCTAGCTAACAGGACCAGTGGTCAGGGATGATGGGAATTGTAGTCCCAAAACAGCTGGAGGGTATAGGAATGATTGCTGGGTGCGGAGCAGCCTCAGCTGCCTGCATGCGTGACCTTGGGGTGCGGGGAACACTCCTCCTCACAGATAAAGCTGCAGCCGCAGCTGTCTGAACATCTTGCCCTCTGTCTAACCTTTTGCAGTCTCAGTAGTTTGCGGTGTCCTGTCTGTGACCTTTGTCTCTGCGACCTTTGTCTCCTTCGTCATACACTGTGCAAGGGGAAAATGACTCGGTGGAAACAGGTGCCAGAATAGCTTTGTACCACCCCACGATCTTGGGACTGGAAGATGTGTAAAGGACCCGGCCCAAAATGTATCTGCCTGGGTTTGCATATTGTGTCAATAAAAGGAGTCTCCACAGAGCTGTCCGGCAGCTTGCTCGCAGCTCACCTGTGCGCAGCTCACCTGCATTATCAACTCCTTCCTCATGTCCTTCACTTCAGGAGGGCCAAGTTTGGCCATCACTGCCCTAATGCATCAATAACTATTGTTGGTTTGGCACAGCTTTTTGCAGGGAGAATGCTGGCTGAGCAATGTGCTGCTGGTTGTGAGCTCACCACTATGCAATGCATGTTGATACCATGTTGTATATTCATGACTGACGGTGAAGAAAATAACTGGTTAATAACCACCGAGCATTTACAGTCACAATGCTTTGTCATGGGAATCCTGACATCCTACCTATGCTTCTTTCATATTTGATGCGCTGGCTCATCGGGAGCTGAAGATGACAATGGATATACAACATTGCTTCTCATCCAGGCAATTTGGTAATCAAAGAAATATCACCATATATCAAAGACGGGACATAGAGACAGTGAGCAAATTTCCGTGACTCAACTTCTACAGTGGTGGTACTCATTGCTGTGCCATGGCTGTGTGCTTGCAGGCCAAGGCTTCATGCTTCCCTCTGTCCCCACTGTTCAGGGAGGGCAGAAGCAAGACAACAAAAAGCAAAAGCAATGCCAGAGGTCTGGTTGAGTCTCCAGTGACTACTATCAAGGGAATGCCTTGCCAGGATAGACTAACCCTTGGGTTTTCAGTTTCCTTTCAGCCGCTTGCTTTCAGTGAACTGCATTATTATGCAGCCTGACTTCTTATATATGTGTTTCCCCCTGCAAGTATATATGACAGATTTCTCTCACACAAAAAAGACACCAAAGGTACCTCACGCAAAGGGAAAAGCAACTGCATTAGACCATACACTTAAAACCAAGACATTTGCGAAAATGTAGACTTCTAGCCATCTAGCATTACCCAAATGAATTTCTCAGGCTTTTGTAGTCCAGAAGCTACAGCAGCTTTTCAATGAAAAGCCAGTTAATGAATATAACTTCACCAAAAAAGATAGCATTCATGTGTAGGAAGAAAATGCATGACTCTGTAGCTTCCCAGCTGACAAAACGAGTCTATGACAGGACAAAGATAATTGTTCTCAAGAATGAATGAATTGGCTGGCGTTAATACTCATGTTGAATAGGTTACCATACTTTGCTGGAAAATATTTCAGAAGAAACAACCAACATTTAATGCTGTCAGAATATGGATTCACTCACAAGTGCAAATCTTTCTTTCTTTCTTTTTTTAAGCTGTAAAGATGAACTGCTGAGACAGCTTGTTTAAATCAAGAGGCTGTAAGTATTTTCCTGGCTCACTGTTGCAAATATGAGAAGCACTCTCTTGGGAGTTTACCTAAATTATCTGGTTATTTAATGTTAGTTACTGACTTTTCCTTTATCAAAACTTTAGGCGGAATGCGAGCAAGCCCTGTACTGGAAAGCATTACAAACCTATAGTTTTGTGTTGTATAAAGGGCCCATAGACCTATCTGAAGCAGCCCCCACCTCCACGCATGACATTTCACGGTGCCATGCACATGCTATGAGCTATCACCTCCAATTTTTAGTTTTAACTTGCTGTAGATAAGCATGGCAAAGATCCACACACAGCTGGTCAGAGGGATTAAAGCCTGCCTCCCTCCTGTTAGCATTTGTACTTTATTTGTTAGGAAATGTATTTTACAAAGAATAAATTGTTAAAGGGGGAAAGGAAACATATGTAATGTAACAGCTGCAAAGCTTTTTGACTGGCCGGCTAAAACAGGTGAGGGTAGCTGATGGGTCTCAAACCCTCAGGGACGAATGCAAAGACGAGATCCAGCAGATTGAGTGGACAAGACCAGTAGTGGGTCCAATGGTCAATGGTTTCTGAACGTGCTTTAAAGCAAAGTGAGGGGCAGATAGGACTTGTCAACCTGGGAAGGTAGTCCATTTAGGAGAAGGAAAACCCTGATCCTAAACCTCCACTGCCTATCTTCAGGAGAAGAAAATGCTCAGGAGTAAGCCCTACACCATGGGTAGGCAACCTAAGGCCTGGGAGCCGGTGCCAGCCTAATCGCTTTCTAAATCCAGACTGTGGACAGTCTGGGAATCAGCGTGTTTTTACATGAGTAGAATGTGTCCTTTTATTTAAAATGCATCTCTGGGTTATTTGTGGGTCACAGGAATTCATTCTTCTTTTTTTCAAAATATAGTCCGGCCCCCCACAAGGTCTGAGGGACAGTGGGCCGGCCCCCTGCTGAAAAAGTTTGCTGACCCCTGCCCTACACAAATCCGGCATGGAGTCCCAAGACAGTTGGATGGCATATTGCACGCCTCCTTCCGGCAACTTCTGCAGCCAAGCTGGTGCCAAACGTATTGCTTTCCTTTCCTTTGGACCACATCTGCGAGACCAGGGGGCAAGGAGGTCTTGCGGTCTGGGCAGTCCAGGACTGCTACACACTGCTTGCTAACATAGCAGCTTGCTTTCACCCCCAGAAGCGCACTCCATTGTCTCTTGAAACAGATGCCAATATACAAATATAAATTACAATATGAGATGCAGGCAGCCCCCTGTGTACATGAAGGTTACCGTATTTTTCGCCCTATAGGACGCACTTTTCCCCCTCCAAAAATGAAGGGGAAGTGTTTGTGCGTCCTATGGGGTGAATGCAGGCTTCAGGAAGCTCTCCGCAAGTCGCGCAGATAGCAGCCTGTTCTGGGGATTCCCCCGCCCCAGCCACGCGCCTGGGGGGGGGGGGAATAAATTTTTTTCTTTATTTCCCCCCCAAAAAAACTAGGTGCGCCCTATGGGCCGGTGCGCCCTATGGGGCGAAAAATACGGTACATTCCAAGGTACCGCATGCATTGGCGGAATCGTGTATAAGTGAAAAATTGAGCAAACATCCCATCCCACCTCTGCCCAGCTTTTAGTGATGTCTCATTGGTATCGTTATGATGTTTCTGGGTCACTTCCAGGTTTGGCGCGATACACGTATACACGATTGTGCACATATCAAATGCGTGTAAAAGGGGGGTTGCCTGTATATTCTAGGCCAGTGTTTCCCAACCTTTTTTGGGCAAAGGCACACTTGTTTCATGAAAAAAATCTCGAGGCACACCACCATTAGAAAATGTTAAAAAATTTAACTCTGTGCCTATATTGACTATATAAAAAGTACAGTGGTGCCTCGCAAGACGAAATTAATTCGTTCCGCAAGTCTCTTCGTCTTGCGAGTTTTTCGTCTTGCGATGCACGGTTTCCCATAGGAATGCATTGAAAATCAATTAATGCGTTCCTAGGGAAACCGCCTTCAGACCAGGTCCGGGGACAGTCTGTCCCCCGACCTCTTCTGAAGGCTGGGGGGGGGACAAGGGCTTTTCTTCCCACTGCCAGCCTTCAGAAGGCTGTTCTGAAGACTGGCGGTGGGAAGAAAAGCCCTTCTTCCCACCTCCCGCCCCGCAAGCTCCGGGGACAGGAGGGCTTTGCTGCCGACCGCCAGCATTTTAAAAGCCCCTGCTGTCCCGGGGCGATTTTAAAATGCTGGCGGGCGGGAGCGAAGTCTCCGCTGCCCCGAGGAGATTTTAAAATGCTGGGGGTCGGCAGCGAACGCTTCGCTCCCGCCCGCCAGCATTTTAAGATCGCCCGGGGCAGCGGAGAAGTCTCCGCTGTCCCGGGAAGGCAGGCGGGGGGAGCAAAGACTTTTGCCCCCGCCTGCCTTCAGAAGAGGTCCAGGACCTCGTTCCGATGCCCGGCGGCGGGGTGCGAGGTTCCCGCCCCACCGCCCGGCATCGGGGCATCGTTCCGATGCCCGGCGGCGGGGGGAGAGGTTCCCGCCCCACCGCCCGGCATCGGGGCATCGTTCCGATGCCCAGCGGCGGGGGGAGAGGTTCCCGCCCCACCGCCCGGCATCGGGGCATCGTTCCGATGCCCGGCGGCGGGGTGCGAGGTTCCCGCCCCACCGCCCCGCTTCGGAGCAGCGCTCCGAAGCGGGGCGGCTGGGGCAGGTGTTCCCGCCCCCCCGCCCCGCTTCGGAGCAGCGTTCCGAAGCGGGGCGGCTGGGGCAGGTGTTCCCGCCCCCCCGCCCCGCTTCGGAGCACCGGGAGAAGCGATCTCCCCGCAGCCCCTTGCTTCAAAAGAGGTCCGGGGGCAGCGGGGAAGAAGCGCTGCGCTTCCCGCTGCCCCCGGACCTCTTTTGAAGCAAGGGGCTGCGGGGAGATCGCTTCTCCCCGCAAACCCTTGCTTCAAAAGAGGTCCGGGGGCAGCGCGAAGCGCTTCCCGCTGTCCCCGGACCTCTTTTGAAGCAAGGGGCGGTGGGGAGAAGCGATCTCGGGCGCCGCGGCGCGCAGGCGCACTGCTCGCTCCTCTTTCCGCGCAGGCGCCTTCTCTCGCTCTTTCGCCTCCTTTTCTTTCTCTCTCGATGGTCCGCCTACAAAGGAGCGAGGGAGGCGCCCGCCATGTTTGGATTTGCATCCAGCAGGAGATGCCGCCGCCGCCCCGCCTCTCCCGCCTCCCTCCCATGGCACACCAGGCAAGGTCTCACGGCACACTGGTGTGCCGCGGAACACCGGTTGGGAAACACTGTTCTAGGCATATTGATTTATCAGCCAAAAAATGAAGAGAGGAAAGGAAAGGAAAGGAAAGGAAAGGAAAGGAAAATAACAGTGAGATTTAAGGCACAAGGCCACAGCCAAAATCCACCAGCTACGGGGTTTTATGATTTGGTGGAAGCCTTGCTAGTGCTAATTCAGCACAAAGGGAACCATATTTTCAAGCTCCAAACACCAGCTGCAAATAGTTGTGCATGAAAATTCAGAGGCCAAATTTTAAGTCTCCTTCCTGATCAATGACAGTGAGAGTGTTGTTTTGAGGTTTCTAGCCTCAGCAGCTAAACATGTTGAGTATCACTAGTTTCAACAGCTGGTCTGACTTTCGAAAAAGACAACTTAGGGCCACACCACACAATTCACTTTTAGATGCACCTCTGTTTTGAAATACCCACGCAAACAATTAAAGAGTTAAAGTGACAAATGCATGTATGCTTATCAGGAAATCATGAATGGCTGTAGCTGTGCTGAGCATGCAATTCAATGGCAGATCTGGGTTTGCCTTTATGAGGCATCAAAAACTGCCCTAAGGACAGAGGTTAATAAATCATGAATGATGTGCAGAGTGTAAAAGTATTCGCTTTCAAAACATTTCTGATGAAACTGACAGGCAGTGAATCTAGGGCAAACAATGGAGGGTGGTTTGGGTTGGTTAGTTTTTACACACACACACACACACACACACACATATTCACCTGTGGAGCCTACTACCAAAGAATGTCGTGACAATCATTAGTACAGTGGTACCTCGGGTTACAGACACTTCAGGTTACAGATGATCCAGGTTACAGACTCCGCTAACCAAGAAATAGTACCTCAGGTTAAGAACTTTGCTTCAGGATGAGAACAGAAATTGTGCGGCAGTAGGAAGCCCCACTAGCTAAAGTGGTATCTCAGGTTAAGAACAGTTTCATGTTAAGAACCACAAGCATAATTTTCATATTAAGAAATAGTCAAATTCTGTAGATGATGAGGAGTAACCAAGAAAGGGGGACTAGTGGAACTATGTCCTGCTTGCAGAATTATGCTTAGCATGTATCTGGTTGTCCAACGTCAGCAGAAAGAATGCTGAGCTAAGCAGAATTAGGTCTAGCCAAGCATGGTAATTCTTACATTGTTTTTTAAAAAAAAAAACCACACACACACAAAACTGTAATCCCAACATAATGGTACCGTAGAATAGATTAGCCGTAGAGTATCTTTGCTATTGCATATTTGTCTTGTAAATAAATTTATGACATACCTTTCTTCTTTGATCTGAAGAAGAATCCAAACATTTTTTTGAAAACACCCTTTCTTTCCTGAAACAAAAATCAAAATCAATTAAGGTTCTGAAATACTCTAGATCATCAATACAGTATAATCATCAGTATGGAATCACAATATGTTATATACAGTGGTACATCGGGTTACATATGCTTCAGGTTACACACTCCATTAAGCCAGAAATAGTGCTTCAGGTTAAGAACTTTGCTTGAGGATAAAAACAGAAATCGGGCTCCGGCAGCGCAGCAGCAGTAGGAGTCCCCATTAGCTTAAGTGGTGCTTCAGGTTAAGAACAGTTTCAGGTTAAGTACGGATGGATTTCCTATTCTCCTTCCTTCCACATTTCTTAAGGAGAGGTGGCCTGTGGAAAAGACTGTCTTAATCGTCTACTCATGATAGAATGTTCCTCAAGATGCCTCAGTAGGGAGTACTGCTCCAACCGGTGGTTTCAGAGGAAGCAACACGCAGATGTTGAAGTCATTCTGACAGAAAAGAAAGGCTGAGGGGGGCGTTGTGGAGAGCAGCAAAAGACCTACCCTCCAACACCTTTGTACAGGAATACTCTGGTGAAGCGCTCGAGCACAAAGAGTTCAAAGCCCGAGTGAAGGAGTATGCCCGAGGCAAGAATATCCATCATTATTTCATGTCATTCAAAAAATGATGAGATAATAGATGCCACCCAGAAAGGAAACTGCTCTCCTTTTATGAACCACAGCTGCGAGCCAAACTGTGAGACGCAGAAATGGACAATGAACGGGCAGCTGTGGGTTGGCTTCTTCACCACAAAACTTGTTCCGTCAAGCTCAGAGCTAAACTTTTTGACTACCAGCTCCAGAGATATGGCAAAGAGGCGCAGAAGTGTTTCTGTGGCTCTGCCAACTGCCAGGGTTACCATTTCTGTGGTTTACAAGCTGTTGCTGGACCTTGCTATGGATTACACTGGTCACTGTATTCAGAGGCCAGGGAGGAATTCTCCTTGCAGACTAACCTCTGCAGGTTTTGCCTACTACTTCATCACAATCACCACAACTAGTTGGCAGAGAAGGCATTGGGTTGGGAAAGGTATTGGCTGCCCCCCACCCCCTGCTTTGCTGTCATGGGATATTCCCTCAGGGCGGCCTGTGGGGTGCTTCATGTCCAGATGCCAAACTCGGGGGCTGGCGGTCCTTAGCACTCCCTCCCAGTGATCTTGTGGGCCACTCAGATGTGATGTGCGTTGAAGAACAACCTTAAGCCTGGTCAACCCCATTCAACCACCAAGCAGCAGTCAGGCGGCTGATTTCAGGATACACACTCAACGTCTACATCAAACCATCTGACACCTGTAACCAATTAATTCAATAATCTGAGGGTGTTTTGGTGAGGAAACGGAACATATTCTGCACTTTGTAGGGAATTTGTTTAGAATTCCACACAGCTCAAGCCATGACAATCGTTATCACGTGACAGAGTGAAGCAACAGTAGCTGTTCTCTCTCTCTGTACCATAGTATTATGTATATCAGCTGTGATGGAAACTGCACAGCATGAGAATAGGAGGGGCGTGGATGCATAGATAGATAGATAGATAGATAGATAGATAGATAGATAGATAGATAGATATGGGCTAGCAGTCATTCATAGGATACGGATTTTAAGTCCAACTTATTTAAATGTGATAAAAGGTGACAGACTGCACCACAGGGTAGAACAATCTAGCAATTCAAATCCCTATGAAATTTTAGTATATTTCATAGACACCAGCATAATAATTGCCATAATAAATCCACTTTTGTAATGTCTTAAACAAGGTGCACCTGCAGTTAAAAACTGGTAAGATTTATTATAGCACTGAGGCATTCTCTGCTAGAAAATGACAAGTTGCTAATGTATGCTTGTTATGTAATAGTTAAAACTCCGTTCTTCAAAGCCCAATGAACGGACTGATAAAAGGGAAGTGAAGATTTGTTGAATAGGGGTGCAAGAGACTGATTCAGCTTTGGCTGCGTGAGAGAACTGACTTTTTTTGAACGTAGCAGCATTTAAAATATTGTGTGAGGCATCCTGAATTCCAGACAAACCAGTAACTTTTAAAATTAATGATATGTTTTGAGCTAAGCATGGAACATGGGGGATACAATCCAGTAATCCTTTGGTTATGTGTACCAGAACTCCTACCCTAAAATGTTTGGGAGCAGTTATATCTGGACACACTACATTTCGGAGTAAAAACACATTTATCCAACTTTTATCAACCTTTCCTGACGTAAAGTCATCAGATATAATAAATAAAGTTCTAATCATTTTCCATGGTTATAAAGCAAAGTATTCAGATAAAGCCCTAGGCTGCAGTCCTGCTACACACTGGCTAAATTCCATTTTTTCTCTCTGCATACTTACACTACTAAGGCTGCTATGCTATACACCAGGCATAGGCAAACTCAGCCCTCCAGATGTTTTTGGGACTACAACTCCCATCATCCCTAGCTAACAGAACCAGTGGTCAAGGATGATGGGAGTTGTAGTCCCAAGACATCTGGAGGGCCGAGTTTGCCTCTGCCTGCTATACTTAGGCACTGGAAACAAGCTCTGTTGAATAGAGCTTATTTCTGAGTAGATAAGCATAGGATTCTACTATAAATCCCACTGTTTGCAAAGTTGCAGCCCTGGACCAAAAATCTTAACACCGAGGATTCTCCCCAATGCATTCCTGTTCGATAGCATTTAATACTTCTGGTTCGGTCAATATCAATCCTATTTTCAAGCGAAGTTCTAAAATACTTCAACCATAGCCACAAAACAGTATCAAGAAAGTAAGAAGAGATATTAACTTAAATATATTTTGTGAGCAATACATAAGAAAGCCAATTATAAAATCAATACGTATTTGATTTTACAAAATTTCCCTAGTGGAGAAAATACTTAATATACACTTTATTGGCAGTTTGGGCATTATTAATTAAAGAAAACTCTTTTGCTGGTAGTTGATTGCTAAAGAAATCAATAGCACTAAATTATTACTATAAATCTTTGCATATTATTAAAACCCACAGTTTGTTTAATCTAATGTTAGCAGTTTATACTTCGTAACTGCTTCCAGAGCAAATCTGTAATATATTTTACCAATATTGCCCACTGCTCTTCACTGTCTTTCAGCCAAGAATTCATGATTTTTCAACTTTAACAATGTGCTTAATTTTCTAAGTCCAATATTAATGTGGCGTGCTTAACTACACGGATATGTTGAAGTGATTCCATTTCAGCAGCGTGAACTAGTATTTTCCCATCCTTCTCGTCTCTTAGTATACTAACTAATGTTGTCTCACATGACCAAGGTGGAAAGAAATGAACTGGATCCCATGTCCCCATGATCGGAACTCTGTTCAGGGATGCTGCCACTGGAGGAGGCAATTTTCACCAAACTTTTCTTCCCCCTGCAGCCCCAAGAAACTCTTGTTCAGGAGGGTTGGAAAAACAGCATGAGAGATGATATGGGAGGCCACAAGAGAAATGGGAAATTGAAGGACAACTCAGTCCCCATAGGAGCCAACTCAAATAAAATATTTGAGGGGGTCGTGTCCCCACAAAGTTGATGGGTATTCCCATTCAAATGGTGTGGATGCACTGCCTCATGTGATCAGTTATGTGGGGCAGGCTTACCTTGGCCCCCCACAATATTTTATCCAAGTTGGCAGCCCTGTCAGGCCCCAAGCCAAGTCCAAAATATAATACAGTGGTGCCTCGCAAGACGAAAATAATCCGTTCCGCGAGTCTCTTCGTCTAGCGGTTTTTTCGTCTTGCGAAGCAACCCTATTAGCGGCTTAGCGGCTTAGCGCTATTAGCGGTTTAGCGGCCTAGCGGCTATTAAAGGCTTAGCGGCTAAAAGGCTATTAGCGGATTAGCGGCTTAGAAAAAGGGGGGGGAGCGAAAAAAATCGCAAGACGTTTTCGTCTTGCGAAGCAAGCCCATAGGGAAATTTGTCTTGCGAAGCAACTCAAAAACGGAAAACCCTTTCGTCTAGCGGGTTTTTCGTCTTGCGAGGCATTCGTCTTGCGGGGCACCACTGTACAGAGAAAGTCAGTGGCTTAGGTAAATGGGAATACTGAGCTCAGTTCAGATCAGTGTAAGGAAGCTGTGCTCCTAAGCAATTTCTATCTCAAGTGCTTCCCCCAAGTCTGCATAAGTATTACAAATGACCGGACCACACTAGAAGCACTTTCCTATTTTATTATTATCTGAGCCTGAATAGATGGGAGAAATATATATTTTATATAAAGGGCTCCATCATTTCTGTATAATAGGGGAGACATGAAAGATGGTCTTGTCCCTCCTGAACTGATAAACTAATTCACTTGGGCAAATGCTTGTTATGTTACCATAAAGCACCAATGCTGCAGCAAGCAAAGGCTTTAGCAGCTCAGTCTGCTGCTTGTGGCTGGAAAGCCAGACAGGATGTTTGTGACTGTTGCCATGGGAACAAAGGGGCAGTCCATTCTGTACTGAGCACCGGATGTTAGCTCAGTGTGTGTATCATATGACCCGTACTGGAAGTACATGGGTGGAGTTTCTTCTTGCTGTTGTCGAGTGCAGACATGTTTCTCTGTACTGAGATAAGAGACAGAAATAAAAGATGTAAATAGTTTTCTGTCTGCTTCTTTCCCCTCCCTGGGGAACACCAAAGGGGAGAGAGGAAGAACGGTGTGTTCCTCTCACACATCTGAGAAGAATCGCCGGGACCTCGCCTGCTTATCAGCAGAGTGGAGATGCGGGGAGGTCGACAGGAATATCTGCCGGTGCCTACGCTATGGCACATTCCTCTGACCCAGGCAGAATTCCAACAGTGGCAGCCTTCGGATGGTTGCGATTCATCGGACATCTGCATGAGAGGCTGGTGAATTGTCCTCCTCTGCTCCAAGGGAGAAAAGCGTCTGAGAGCAGCCAGAAGCTGACCAGAAGAAGCTGACAGCCAAGCCGATGCCCAAGGTATGAGATTTTTAAGGGCTTAAAAGTGTGAATGCAGATTGCTCATTCTCTGCTTCACGGAGAGCGTGTGTGGGAAAGCAGCTCCAACTTAGAAGAGGCCTGCATTCCAGGCATTCTTGTGGTTTCCTGTCCGAGGAGAAATATGCGCTGTTGCTAAGCAACGTCCTTCAGTGAAGGAGGACTGGAAAGTTACTCGAGAGGGCTGGACAGTCAGTCTATGCCTCAGAGAGGCGAAAACAAAGTTTTGTTATGACTAGGCCCTCACGAACTGATGGAAGGGACTTTCCAACGCAGCCAGTGTCAGAGCTGCCAGGTGTCAAGAGTGTAAACAAGCCAGCTATTGGATTTTAGAGGCTTGTGTTTCAGAGTTAATGCAAGGACTCAAAATGGATGCAAAGAAGGGGGGAGGCTTGCCTTCTCCACCCCTCCTGACCAATGACAATTATTCATCTTGGTCTGTAAAGATGAAGGCCCTGCTGCAGAATCAGAGACTGTTTGAAGTGATTGAAAACCCCATCCCTGCAGCACCAACGCGTGCTTGGGAGTCACAGAATGTGAAGGCCAGAACGGCTATAATTCTGTGTGTGTCAGACTCGCAGCTTGTGCATATTCAGCATTTAGAACATGCGAAAGAGGTTTGGGATACGCTGCGTACAACGCATCAGAGAGATGCAGGTTCTTCAGCGTTGCTGTATTTTGAGAAGTTGACCAATCTGAGATTAGCGCCTGATGGAGATGTTCAAGCGCACCTGACAGAAATGAAGTTTCTGCGTCAACAGATGGTGGAACGCAATTTTCGTCTACAGGAGGAAGTGTTTTGCTTCATGATGATAAACAGCCTGAACCGGACTTACAAGGTTGTTGCCAGTCAGCTTGGTTCTCTACCGGCTCAAGACCTAACTGCGGAGAGGGTCTGTGCGGTGGTCCTGAATGAACACGATAGACTTGCTGCACTGGAAGTGAAGGACAGGGGGAGGCAAGAACAGAGTTCAAATCTTCCCACTGCTGAATCTACTAGAGAGCATGGAGTAGCACTGAGTGCTGTCCGATGCTACAATTGTGGACAGACTGGGCATCTACAGCGGAACTGTAGGAAGCCGCGACAGTCAAAAGGAGCCAAAAACAGCTCTACGAAGCCTGAGGCGTCAAGCAAAAGCCGTAACAAGTGCCAGGTGAAACCTGCAAAGGCGATGATGGCGAAAGGAACCACGCCAGATGTTGGGAACGCATTCATAATTGACACCGGCGCCACGAAGCATCTCTGCCCACACAGAGAACTGTTTTCGACGTTGAAGAAGCAAAGCTTCACTGTGAAACAGGCCAACGGTCAAGAGTTGGAAGCGACCGGGATTGGAACTGTGTATCTTGAGAGTCTGAACTTGACTATAAGCGATGTTTACCTGGTTCCAGAACTGAGATTTAGTCTGCTGAGTGCTTCGCAGATTGCAAAGAAGGGACTAAAACTGTACTATGATGCTAAAAGATGCAAGATCTACAAAGATGGAGAACTGTTTCTTACTGCCAAAGAGAAAGATGGACTGTATTTGTTGACTTTTGATCAAAGTGATTACATGAAATGTAATACTTCTGATTCTAACGAAATTTCTCTTGCAGATCTGACCAACAAAGAGGACACCAAGAAGGTGAATAAGAAGGTCGACAGAGCGTTTCAGCGGGTGTATGCTGATGTGATTGGTCCTCTAGAACCATCTAGGGGCGGTGCAAAATATTACCTTGTGTGTGTTGATTGTTTCACTAATTATTCTTGGGTTTATTTGATGGAGAAACCAAAAGAAACCTTAGAAAGGTTTAAAGAGTTTTGTGACAAGGTTAAAAGTATGCATGATGCTAACATTGATTGTCTTTTCACAGATGACAAGCCAGTTTTTCTTTTACAGGATTTCCAGAGGTTCCTGCAGGAGAAAGGGATAAGACACAAACTTGCTAGTTCCGAAGAAGCATGGAAGAAATGTGTCTGTGTTAGGGTGAACAAAGAATTGCAAAAGGGAATGCATGCACAATTGCTGAGTTCACATTTACCACATGAATATTGGGCCGAATCTCTAATGTCCTATCTTCATGTGTGGTTGAGAAAAGTCTCAACAGAGTTGGGATGTTCTCCTTTTGAGAAGCTGTTCAATAGAAAACCTTCTGTTGCCTATTTTAAGGTTTTCGGGTCTCATGTGAGAACAGAAGCTCCAGGTGGAGTAAAGAATGCCAGAGGCATTTTTGTGGGTTATGAAAAAGGTCTCTATAGAGTAATTTTGTCTGAATCTGGTCAGGTGATTCTCACAAAATTTCTAGAGAGTGCTCCTGAACAGGAGAGAGTGATTGTTCACACTTTTCCCACAGATGATTCTGATGATGATGATGATGAGTTTGATCTTATTGAGTTCAGTAGTACTGATGATGACAGCGATAGCTCAGACAGCTCAGTTGTCACAGTCATTGAGAGGAAATCTCAAATAATGACTAGACCCTCAGAAGAGGAGGATGAACCACTGATTAAGCTTAGTACTGGTTCTCCAGAGAGTTCAGAGGCTGAACCAGAAAGCAGAGAAGAGAAGCAACTCTTACGTAGGTCTGAGAGAGCAACGAAGGGTGTACCACCCAAGAGGTATTCAAAGGAGTTTGCTAACCTTGCATATGTTGCTGTTGTAAACGACCAAGGACAGATTGAAGATGTGTCTGAGTCAGAGACAAAGGCACAACAGAGAGTTGTTAACCAAGGTAATGCGAAGTCACACAACCAAAGAGGTACATTCGTTAAACCAGAGGCGGGTAGTTCCAAGGGTGGAACTGAAACAACAGGGGAATGTTATAAGTATAACAACTGTTTGTTTTCTTCTCTGGATGACGCTTTGCTCGCAGCAAGCATTGATACTTTAGGGGGAGTATGTTACCATAAAGCACCAATGCTGCAGCAAGCAAAGGCTTTAGCAGCTCAGTCTGCTGCTTGTGGCTGGAAAGCCAGACAGGATGTTTGTGACTGTTGCCATGGGAACAAAGGGGCAGTCCATTCTGTACTGAGCACCGGATGTTAGCTCAGTGTGTGTATCATATGACCCGTACTGGAAGTACATGGGTGGAGTTTCTTCTTGCTGTTGTCGAGTGCAGACATGTTTCTCTGTACTGAGATAAGAGACAGAAATAAAAGATGTAAATAGTTTTCTGTCTGCTTCTTTCCCCTCCCTGGGGAACACCAAAGGGGAGAGAGGAAGAACGGTGTGTTCCTCTCACACATCTGAGAAGAATCGCCGGGACCTCGCCTGCTTATCAGCAGAGTGGAGATGCGGGGAGGTCGACAGGAATATCTGCCGGTGCCTACGCTATGGCACATTCCTCTGACCCAGGCAGAATTCCAACAGAAAAAGGGGCACCCCAATTTCCCCTGCTCAGTACTTCAGTTCTTGTTGTTTCATAGTTTCTATACACTGAAATATTTGGGTAATTAAAACAGACCTTTTTCTCAGGTTTCACGTCTTGATAATAATCTTCAGCCTACATGATAACAATCACAAGCAATCATTAATCCTTCATTCTACTGTTATCTAAACATACAACTAAAATGTACAACTTTGCTAAACTATACAATATATACCAGATTATAAAAAGGGAAGAATGGTATAAAGAGATGTGGGGTATAGCTATTAATGATAAATTAACATTAACGTAAGACAGGGAATACACAGGAGAAATGATTCTGAGGAGAATATGGAGGGTGTTTGTAGAATTTGTACTGTTAAAACAACACAGGAGGTGTTGAAATTTTGGGAGGTTGGATAGTTACAATGGAATGGTTTCGGTCGTGGGGTGCACATTTTTATTCTTATTTATTTATGATTATTAGTTTGTCAAAATAAAATAATTGTGTGTGTGTGTGTGAGTACAATTTTTTATTTTAATACAGGTTCTTTTTATGAACAAGCTTCTTAGCTACATCTGGAAAGTACTACTATTAAAGTACCACTTTTAAAAGTACTTTAATAATCGAAAGGTAACGGAGAATGAAGCAAAATTCTCAAAAAGTAAGTTATGCATATGCTTAAAATGGAACCTCCATGATAGTGAAAGAGAAGGACAGCACTAAATTGTGCCCTCCCCCCCAAAAAAAAAAAAATCCAGCAGGTCTCTTACCATCTCAAATTCAGTTTCAAATTAACTGTAAAGTGCACTATAACAAAATGGGGCTCTTACCCTATTTGCCCTCTAACCATCTGAATGGTATGCTAGCAATGCTTATGGTGGGGGCATCGTGGCCTGGCAGTTACTTAAAATTAAGCAAAGGCTTAATATTTGTGTTTACACATTGTGTTTATAAACATATTACAAACAGGTAGTAAAGGACTCCAACAAAACCTAAATGTAGTTGCAGCTTGTCATAATGAGAATGGACATTATATCTTAGGAACGTTACACAATTCTGAGTAACAGCGACAGGAGCTCAGCCATTCCAGCTATATATGTACTTAGGGGTGGAGAAGTTTCATCTGATTATTAAAGTTGCATAAAGGAGAATTCCCTTATTTCATTCCCTGAAATGAAAGCATACTTAGTAGTTACAAATGTTTTTATTGTCTACGTTAAATAATACAACTACACCTCTAAATAAAAGTATTGATCTCAGCAGATCTGAACTAATGCCGTTTCCTGTGCTATACTAACCCATCTCAAATGCCACAATATGAATGGCTTTGGGTGTTAAGAAGTTAATTTGTTTGACTGATGTAAAAATTGGCAAGGAACACCCCGGGATCAAGATTCCATTTTAACTGTATAAAAAAGTTCTCAAATACTGCAAAAACAAAACTAACCTCTTCTTCTGTACTCCAGTTTGCATAAATGTCTTCATCATGGACAACCTCAGCAGGGGCCTTGAGTATGATGCATTCCAATAAAGATTTGCATGAACACAAGGAAAGAAAGCAAAAATGCTCTTATGTAATTTTATCACAAATCAGGGGGGGGAAATCAAGCAATCAACTTGTTTCCCATTTCCCCACTCTTGAAAACAAACTAGTTATGCCTTACTGAAAGCTTGCCATCCTAAACTGGTGTTACAATATTAATGCTGGCTCCCTCGGCCTGTAAATGCGAGATGAGTGCGGCAACCTCAGAGTCGTCTGCGACTGGACTTAACTGTCCTTTACCTTTATTTTAATGTGACAGCCTGGAAATGGATAAAGTCCTCTCAAACAGTAAAGTGAACCTAAGGTCCCATTTTTGCAAATGGTAAATGAGGTGGTAAACATCTAACTAGACTGCTTCACTTCAGAGTACAGGTGAGAGTTCACAACTGAATTCTTCTTCTGCCCTGGACACAGTAGGTCAGCAGGGCTTTGGATGAGATGGTGGCTCCACAAAGGCATCTTCCATCACCTGCTCTGTAATGGTACATTGGCTTTCAATAAGTGGGTCATAAGGAGTGCTTCATCCGTGGCATCATAAAACCTGCTTTTCCTTTTAGAAAAAGAGTAGAAGGACTGAGTATATGTGGGTTGGGGGGTAAGTACCGTATTTTTCGCCCTATAGGACGCACTTTTTCCCCTCCAAAAATTAAGGGGAAATGTGTGTGCGTCCTATGGGGCGAATGCAGGCTTTCGCTGAAGCTTGGAAAGCGAGAGGGGTCGGTGCGCACCGACCCCTCTCGCTCTCCAGGCTTCAGGAAGACATCCGCAGGGCTGTCTAGGCTGCGGATAGCAGCCTGCTTCCCGGAGCGTCGGGCGCCCTGAAAGCAGAGCGCCCGGGGCTTCGGGAACACATCCTGCCACCCGGTGGGCGGGGCGCCCTCAAGCAGAGTGCCCCGCCCGCCGGATAGACAACCGCAGCGTGGGGAGACCTGCAGGAGTTCCTCACAGGGTTCCCCACGCTGCGGATAGCAGTCTGTCGCCCGGTGGCGGGGCACCCTGAAGCAGAGCGCCCCACCCGCCGGACAGACATCCGCAGCGTGGGGAGCCCTGCAGGAGTTCCCCGCAGGGCTCCCCACGCTGCGGATAGCAGCCTGCAGCCCGGTGCGAGGGGCACCCTGAAGCAGAGCACCCCTCGTGCCGGACAGACATCGGCCAGCCCCACAAGCTCGGGGGACAGCAGGGAGGCGCAGCGCCGCCATCCCGCTGTTCCTCGACCTGGTTCGGTTTCCCCGACCTGCTTTTGGGGGGGAAATAAAGGGGGGGAATTTCCTTTATTTCCCCCCCAAAAAAACTAGGTGCATCCTATGGGACGGAGCGTCCTATGGGACGAAAAATACGGTATACGTTTATACAGCAGGGATGTTAAACATCTTTTGAAGGGAATTCTACTTCCTTCCCTCTTGATGCACACACAAGTAACAAGTGCCATCTCCCAGTTTTGTTAAAAGGAAGGAATGACTTTTAAGGTAAAAGGTAAATGACCCCTGTATGGTTAAGTCCAGACAAAGGCGACTATGGGGTGCAGTGTTCATCTCACTTTTCAGGCCGAGGGAGCTGGCGTTTGTCCACAGACAGCTTTCCAGGTCATGTGGTGAGCATGACTAAACCGCTTCTGGTGCAGCGGGGCACCGTGACGGAAACAAGAGCACATGGAAACGCTGTCTACCTTCCTGCTGCAGCAGTACCTATTTATCTACTTGCACTGGTGTGCCTTCAAACTGCTAGGTTGGCAGAAGCTGGGACAGAGCAACGGGAGCTCACCCCGCTCTTCAGATTCGAACTGCCAACCTTCTGATCGGCAAGCCCAAGAGGCTCAGTGGTTTAGACCACAGCGCCAACCACGTCCCTTACTGACTTTAAAACCAGTATATCCACAGTGCAGATCTGTTCTGAGAAAGACAGTGAGTGAAGGGGGAAATACAGAAAGAGAAAAAAGGGACACAAACATTTATTTATTTTAAAATTAAAACTTCGCCTGACGTTTCAGGTTGGGGCTAGAGGTGCTTCCAGAATCTGGAAAGACTGAAAACAAATGGTTTAACAGAACAGGAAATAGTGGTTACTTTTGGCAGAAAACAAAAACACACATTCAAATATCCAGAACTACAATCTAGCCAGATTTGAGCAATTCTGTCTTACCAATTGCAATAAGCTTTAAGTATATACGTAAGATTTCCATTGAAATTAAAAGCTGAAATCTAATAGCTGAAATCTAAAGGGCACTTCTAAAGGGGACGCAGGTGGCACTGTGGGTTAAACCACAGAGCCTAGGACTTGCTGATCAGAAGGTTGGCAGTTAGAATCCCCGTGACGGGGTGAGCTCCCGTTGCTCGGTCCCTGCTCCTGCCAACCTAGCAGTTCAAAAGCATGTCAAAGTGCAAGTAGATAAATAGGTACCGCTCCGGCGGGAAGGTAAACGGCGTTTCCGTGCACTGTTCTGGTTCGCCAGAAGTGGCTTAGTCATGCTGGCCACATGACCCAGAAGCTGTACGCCGGCTCCCTCGGCCAATAAAGCGAGATGCGTCGCAACCCCAGAGTTGGCCACGACTTGGACCTAATGGTCAGGGGTCCCTTTACCTTTAAAGGGCACTTCTGCATATCACCAGGCCTATTCTATTCTTCATCCTTCCCATTGCAGCCCCTTGCTCTACCCAAAACCCAACACTAGATGCTGGAGGACCCCTGAGAGATGAATTCAACATAGTAGATGGGGAAGCAGCCAGAAGGTAAAATTGCAGTCACCATCCTTTTGTGTATGCAGAACTGCTTTCTGCCCTTACACAGGGCAGTCTGCATCCATCCTAGTCAATGGGATTTAAATGCACTGAAATTTGCTGGATTGCGGCCAATCAATCATGCCCAATATTTGTTTCTATGCACAGGCAGATGGAAGAGAGAAAGAGGTGTTATAATCAATTCATTCAGAAGGAAGAAATGTACTTTAAATCTACCTGGTCAACAGGTACTTCCACTTGCAAATTTTTATCTTCTTGTATTTGCTGAGCCTCTTTAATTTCTTCTGGGGGTGTACGAGCTTTATAGACCCCACGTCCTGAAAATAAACAGGATTAAAATATATCTGTATTAATCACTATCTACCCCACACTGTGAAAACTACCAGCATAAATAAATTATAACAATATTTAGGCGTAGCTAAAAAGCAATTACTTCCTTAAGGGCAATGTTTGTATACAATAAATATTTTCGAATAACAGCAGTCTGATGAATTTCATCATTTTGAAATGTTTTACTTCTGTATTAAGTAATAATAAAAAGGAGGCAGAAGACGATATGATGCGAAGTTGCAAGAGTCGTGTTATAAATAAGAGAGACATTAACAGTTACTACATACTGAGCTTTTATCTAGTAAAAGAATATGGAAATTATGCTGTAATTGTAAATTAAAAAACTTTTTCACTGAGAACATTGAAAAAGACCTGTAATGTCTGCAAATATGCATTGGTTTGCAATTGCTTCTTAATAAGCATCTTCTTTTTTTAAGGCTTAGTTTCTCTTAGTTTCTCTGGTGCACATGTTACACTGAATACAAGTATTTGGGCTTAAGCAACTATGTACCATATTTTTCGCCCTATTGGGCACACTGGCCCATAGGACGCACCTCATTTTTTGAGGGGGAAATGAATAATAAAAAAAATTATTCCCCCCCCCACAGCCCACAGAACAGGCTGCTGCCCGCGAGCCTGCGGGAACTCCTGCCGGGCGCGCAAGGCTTGCGGACACCTGCCCAAAGCACGGGGCGTCCTCCAGAGGGCACCCCGTGCTTCGGGCTGCAGGCTGCTGCCCGCAAGCCTTGCGAGCCCGCGGGAACTCCCCCCCCCCCGGGCGCGCAAGGCTTGCGGATAGGTTCCTGAAGCCTGGAGAGCGAGAGGGGTCGGTGCGCACCGACGCCTCTCGCTCTCCAGGCTTCAGCGAAAGCTTGCATTCGCCCCATAGGACGCACACACATTTGCCCTTCATTTTTGGAGGGGGAAAAGTGCATCCTATAGGGCGAAGAATATGGTACATTTTACAATGGGAGAAAGATAAGCATAATATGTAAACCAGGACATCAGTACCAAATCTGCCTGCATTTAACTATGGGGTCTTAGGTACCAGATACAATATTTTGTGTTACCATCATCAGATGTCAGGTGCTTATTAGCCTCAGCGCCACGACTTGCCTTCTTGGGTTCTGCGTAATAAACTGAAGACCTATCTCCTGCTCCTCGTTTTGATGGTGGTATGGCAGGCTGCATGCCGGCTCCCCGTTTTGCTCGTTCTGTAGGAGGCTACAGGTAACACACTCAATAAACATCCAAAGAACATCTATTCCTTTAGATCTGCAGCAAACTACTACTCTACCAACATTGTTAAAAGATTCAGAAACTAATACAGTTCAGTATTCATGGGCAGCAAAATATCTCAAGCTGCCTCTGGTTATATGAGCTATTCCGGAAGGCAAATGCCCTTTCCCCAACACTCTGTTTTCCTTTTGGGTCGGGGGCTTGTTTCAACAGGTAAGCGGCTTTCAGCAACATTGCATAGGCAACCTTCGGTCCTCCAACTGTTTTGGACTACAATTCCCATCATCCCTGACCACTGGTCCTGTTAGCTAGGGATCATGGCTGGCATAGATCCTGGAACCTACTGAGCACAAGTCCTTAGTGAGTTGCCTGGTACAGTTTTTCTTTCTCTTATAAACTAACATTTTATGGAACAATGGACTGATCCAGAAGCTGCTATGTGAAAATTCATAGCTTTGCAGCTGACGGAGACATTCTACTTCAGTGTTTGAAACTCCCATTGTTCCAGGCACATTTTGCGACAAGGAATTTTGCCCATAACCTAGGTTTAAGGTGCCATTTAGCTCCTAGCTTTCATATCTCAGTTTCTAACACTGCTTCAAACAAAGCACAGTTGTTATACAAACCTACAGTGGTACCTTGGGTTACAGATGCTTCAGGTTACAGACTCTACTAACCCAGAAATAGTACCTTGGTTAAGAACTTTGCTTCAGGATGAGAACAGAAATTGTGCAGCGGCAGTGCAGCGGCAGCAGGAGGCCCCGTTAGCTAAAGTGGTGCTTCAGGTTAAGAACAGACCTCCAGAACGAATGAAGTTCTTAACCCAAGGTACCACTGTACTGCAATAATCTCAATACATTTTAAAATTATCAATCAGTCAATCAACCAACCATTTTATTTGTATGCTGCCTATCCAAAGTTAAGACCATGCTCAAGATGGCTTACAACACATTTAACAAATGCATAATGACAAGCATAACAAAAGTAGCCATAAACAATTCAAAACATCAAAAAGTACCCAAAGCTTGTATGAGATACCAAAGTTGTACAAGACAGCAAAGAAAAGTAGCTTTTCAAGGGCCAAGTGACTGGGGTATTCAGCAAGCCTACATGAAGGAAAGTGTCAGCCTATTCTGAAAATCAATCTCTCTCTCGCCATAACAAAGTGGAAGGCGAACCAGAAGACATTTGGCTGTTTTCCCAAGTGAATCTCATCATTTGAGTGGGAGCCTACATACTTCATCATACAGCACACATTTAATCTGAGCATTTATTAAAATGGAAGACTGGCTAACATTTGAACTCTAGCGCAGCCTCTTCATGATCTTGACTGATGACAGGGAATGTTTCACATTTATTGTGAGATACAGCCCTGTCCCTGGAATTACTAATCTGAAATGTCAGCTCTGAAGCAAACATTCTTCTCTGGACTTTACGTATCTGGCATAAAGCATTAAACTGCTGGGTTTTATTGGTTAAGTTCCTATGATATAGCTCTCTTACCCAACTAACCGAAACGGAAGCTCCCCTTAATGTTATTTTTTTCACCTGCTACAGTTTCTCTTTAGTACTTATGTTATGTACGTATGTATGTATGTATGTATATGTGTTTGTGTACAAACAAACACACACATATACTGAGAGAGGCAGGCAGGCAAGTGTTCAAATTAGGTCTAGTATTTAATGTAAAAATGCATGCATTCAATAAATCAACAAAAGTGTTAAAATATATGCAAACACCACTATTTGCATTTTTATTACAGGTTTTAATATTAACAGGGACATTTTGCAGCATCAGAAGACATGTAAACAAATTATTCCCTGTTGCTGTTTCCTAAAGCCTTTTTTTAACTACTGTTTTATTACTCTTCCACTAGTTTCATGACTCTAATACCTATTACAAAACTGAAATAAGCAGGTAAACAAATTAGATTTCAATTCGCAAAGACAACGTGCTGCATTTATGTTACCCTCTTCTCAACCTCACAGGCATACAATTCGAAGAATGAATGAGAGCCCAATACCACTTCATGCAACTACCAACACATTACAATCCAAAGCCAGCAGCCGCAGAGTGAGTCTATAACAGATTCACTGCCTGTGAGCTGAATGATATCTGTCTCTTACATATGACTGGGATTTGCCTAGGCTTGGCTACCGGCACTGGCATGAGGGAGGGTACAGTAGTATCAGTGCTGTGGCACATAATACATCACACCATGCGGAGAGGGAAAATTAAAGGGCCCCCTGATACACAATATAAATCACCACCATCTTTATTACATAGTTTGGAAATTCTTCTCATGACTCAACTTCAAGACAGAAGATAAATTTACTTGTAAGAGATCTTTTGCATTAAAAACACACACACACACACAACCTTAACACATTTATTGTGGCATGAACTACGACCGACATATTCTGCAACATGAGCTGCAGCCTGCTTCTTCCACTGCATAACCTGATGGAGATCTCTATCATTTTCACGATCTGTGACAATGTGGGCCACATTCCAGTGGTGAGCAGGGCGAAACAAAATGAATCCTTAAAAAAAGAAAAATGCACACACACATGCACAGAGCACATTTCCAGCTCTTTCTCCACTATAGCACATGTCTGCAGGTGGCTACAAAGATCTTTCTGCCAGAGGAATTTTCTCTCCAGATCTTAGCACTATGTTCCCACCGCTCTCATTCTAGCGCTTATCTCTCTTATCTTAGTGCTGTGCTGTGGGGCTTAGTGCTAAGATCAGAGATAACATTATTACTTTGCCAGCTCTTTAAGGGCTTGTTTTCAATCTAATGATTAAAACATGGTAGATGCACCAAATGATCCATTAGTCATGGCAAGATGACTAATGGTAAAAGCCATAAAACGACACCCCCCCCAAAAAAAAGCCATAAAATCACATGGGATGATTAATAGGTGGGTGAGGCTCTGGGACAGGCCTGGCAGAGCAGCTTGAAGGATGTGGCTGGCTGGATTAGGCCTGCAGGCCAGAAGTTCCCCACTGCTGCTCTGAATTTAATTATATAACTTTTAAAACCTAATACGTTACTATCCATCTTAAGCCCATATGATAAGAGGGCTATATATCTGAACATACAAACAAGCAAACAAGTTGTAACTCTTTACTTCCTTTCCAAGAAAATGACAAAGTGTTATATTACTACATTATGTTACTATTTTAGTTAATGACCGCTCCCCGCATAAAACGGGGGGCGATTTTTGTGTGGACACGCGCAGCCCCTGGATCTGGAGCGGCTCCATTCAGCATAGGCTTGGCTTTGCCTTCCCTCAGGTGAGATACCTGGAGGTCTCCGCCTACCTCAGTCAGTTGTCCAATCCCACCTGGGGGAAGCGTTGCCAAGGAGACCAGGCCAGGTAGGGGAGGGATTACCTGCCCACACAATAGAGGGAGGATCTTACCTGGGAATCCTCACTTGGCTCCAGAGCTTCTCCCACCCCACCCACCCTCAGTTAATGCCTTCTTTTGCAGGTTAACTTTTCTTCACAGGTTTTGCAGGTTAACTTTTCTTACAGGTATGCGGGCGCTGCTACGTTAAGGTCGCTGTCAAAGGGCCGGAAAGGAATTTCCCTGCATTGGCAGGTTTTGCCTTTCCCGTAGCAAAACGTCACAACTTTGGCAGTATCAAGCCTTGGGCGGAATCCTTTTGTCCATCTTCCTCTTGCAGCGGCGATACCAGGGTTCCCCGTTAAAGGGGTTTCTGAAGGGAGGCTTTGACCGTACGCCGAAAGGTCGTCATTGCTCTCCCCTGCGGCGGCGGCGGTGTAACGGGGGCGGCTATCTCTGCTTGAACATATGTTCTCCAGAGCCGGCCCATCCCCCCCACACACACTGGATAACCCTGATGCTCCCTAGGTCCCCGGCTGGGGACTGGGGAGGGAGAACGCCCAATGCCTGAGCCAAGGTCTACCCACATTTGAAATTTAATAAAGTTGTGGCCAATTTAATTCCATAGCATGTTGTCTTGAGTCGTTATTCCACATGATGGGGGGGGGCGGCTCGGGACCTGGGGACTCTGCCTGTCCACGCAAATGTTGCTTTTTGGTGAAAAGCAGTATACAAAGGTTAAAACAAAATGTGAAAACAAGTAAATATTGGGTGAGAAGACCTACAACTGGCCTTCCTTTCAGTCAATAAAAAGCAATATTGATAAGGATGTCTTTTATAGGACAAATAAGGTTTCACATGCAAGTCTGACCCAACAAAGCAAGCAAACCTATATATCAAGTCAAAAATAAGCCCCACTGAGTTTAGCAGGGCTTGCTCCAAGGTATGTGGATACAGGATTGCAACTACCGACTGTTTAGTCATAGCATTTTCAGAATGAGGTGGGTGTTTTTGCTTTGGTGGCTGTGAAAACATATCCCAAATAGAAGACTACAGGTGTATGATTGACTGCTAAGGGCTGACTGCTGGCTAGTGCCTTTATGACATCACTAGAACCAAATACCCTCATCACTCCGAAGGCACTTTAAAAGTGAGGCTTTTGAACGCCAGGCAATACGAATCTCCACAAAAGGCAAATGTGATTCACTTTGCAGAGAGCTTTAGGCAGCTAAAGACCAAGCACTCGTTAAGTATTCACTGTACAGTTAAGTTACAGTCCAATGGTATCCAGGTCTACTCAGAAGTAAGTTTGCGTTTTACAGGGATTCCTCCCATTTAAGTGGCAGTCTGGACTTTGGTTCAGAGTTGGCATTGGAGAAAAGCAGATTTGCCTTTAAACAGCTGTACAGGAAGGCAGAAACTCAACAGGTTAAGCCTCTTCTGGTATAGAAATGCAATTAGGGGAAAGCTTTACCATGACTGTCCCCTCTCTAATTTTGTGTGAGACACCATGCCTTCCAAAAGCAGCCATATTGAGTTACCCCCCCCCCCCGGCCATTTTGTGACTGGAGCCCACAGCAGTCTCTCAAAACTCAGAATGTGCTCGCTGGTCCAAAAAAGTTGGTGCCCCCCTAGTCAAGTGGCTGGGCATGATTAGGACTGAGGGGAAAATACCTCAGTTCAACCCAAAACTTGGTGGCTTTAGGCAACTCAAGTTCTTTAATAAAAGTTGCTTCTTTTTACTGTTTGCCGTCTCACATTAAAAACATCTCTTCTTCATGTTTTACTTCTTCTTATTACAGATAATTCCAAGCTCAGGTAATTCTTATAACTATAAGATTCACCCACATGAAAAAAAAATGGCCCAAAGCCTATAATAATATAAAGAACAAGACTATAGCATTCAAACACAATTGAAGGTATTTTAAAGAGATTTTTTTTCCTTCTTATTTGCATATTAGCTATTAAAAGGAGACAATTTTGAAATAAAGTATTATTGTAGCGCAAATAAATTTTGCAGGGAAACAGACTGTGATAAATGTACTGCAAATCACATAATACAAGGAAAATGAAACAACAAGGTGGGGGGACAGACACCCCCCACACACACACACCAGTGGAGTATGCATAAGCCTGCTCTGCCCCTGTCCTACCCCCTTTTCTGGCCACTTCCAGGTTGCGGTGATGCGCACTTGAACGGTTGCACACATATTGGAGAAGCATGAATGAAATAAGTACCTGATATTCAGAAGACATCTTAAGGCAGCCCTGTTCAGGGAAGTTTTTAATATGTAACGCTGTACTGTTTTTAACACTGATTGGGAGCCGCCCAGAGTGGCTGGGGAAACCCAGCCAGATGGGCGGGGTATAAATAATAAATTATTATTATTATTATTATTATTATTATTATTATTATTATTGCCTTTCTTGCTAATGACAATGGATAGGATTCAAAGAGCTACCATATTTTTCTGTCTGTAAGACGCCTCCATGTATAAGACGTCCCCTATTTTGGGGGACTCTGATTTAAGAAAATGCTATCCGTGTATAAGATGAGCCCAGATTTTGAACATTATTTTAGAGTAAAAAAGCATCGTCTTATACATGGAAAAGTATGGTACTTTAACCACACTTAACAGTTTAAGCATGCCCTAGGATTTTTGATTCCACGTACACACACACACACCCCTTTGAAGATGAGATCTCTGGCATATCACAATCTGCTGTTCAAAGCTACCTGAGTAATGAACGCAGCTGGCACTGTGGCGAGGGAGGAAATATCTCCTTCACAGCACAGACTGAGCCGTGCAGTTCATTGGATCCCAACTACAGTGGTACCTCGGGTTACAAACACCTCGGGTTACAAACACCTCGGGTTACAGACTCCACTAACCCTGAAGTAGTACCTCGGGTCAAGAACTTTGCCTCAGGATGAGAACAGAAATCACACACTGGTGGCGTGGCGGCAGCGGAAGGCCCCATTAGCTAAAATGGTACCTTGTGTTAAGAACAGTTTCAGGTTAAGAACGGACCTCCGGAATGAATTAAGTTCGTAACCCACACGTAATTCACACACATTGTCCATGCAGAGCTCCATGTAGACTGCAGAGCCTTGCAAATCCTTGAAGTTGGGCCAGAGATTGAAATCCATTTGGATGTGCCCAACTTGAATTCATCCGAAACTTGTTTGTTTGACAGTGAGCAGCTTTTGATGCCATGTTTTTAAATGGGAGGAGAGGAGAGCATATAAGAATGTTTAAAAGCCATTATAAATAACCTTACCTTTTTCGGAGGGGGCCCTTCTAGAGGTCCAGGTGTGTTAGAATTATACCTAAAAATATAAAGTGTAATTTACTTAATGTGAATATTTATAAGTGTAAAGCTCAATATTGTTAGGACAACCATCTTGTTTTAAAATGCCATTATCTTTAAAGGTAGTACAAACTTAAGTATTGCCTATATGGATTCTGACTCACATCAGCCCTGGCCAGAATGACCAATGGTCAGGGATGATGGGAGCTGTAGATCAACAGCAGCCGAAGAATCACAGGTTAGCCATCCCTCGTCTACATGATAACTGCAGGTCTATCTCAGGTATTAACCAACTGCCCACAGACAAGCCAGGACGTATTGCTTGGTTTGATGTTTTGCACTGGTCTGAAAACAGCCAGGATGGTGGACCAATAAGATGGGCTGCCCCTAAAGACTCGGAAATCAAGAGAATTCAAAACTCTGCAGGCTGTAAGCACCTGCAGCTCACGCACTCCTGGACAACTAAGGAACTATTGCCTGATCTCTAACACTCCTGGTTCAAATCCTTTGGTGCTTCGTGCTTAACTTCCATAGTCCACAAACAATGTGATGAGTAGTTATGGGTAGAAGCTTCCTTCCTACAACTTCCCCTAGGCATGTTCTTTCTGCTTAGAAAACTGTTTATCGATATCTGGAGGCATTTATTCCTCTAAGAGGCACCAACATCCAGTTGGCTTCTGGAAGTTACAGATGTCACTGAATTCTCAATAGGTGTTTGATATACTACTTTTTTAAGGGTGCAAACATTTTGCTTCTGAAGGGAGTGATTACTAGAGACCGTGCCAGGTAATGTTTAGACACTTCTTAGGCAGCAGCAATTAAAAAAACCAAAAACAAAACCATCTTCTAACATTTTCTTTATTCCTGAAACTGAACACAAAAGTAGGGATGCAATAATTTGGGGCAGGCAACCATAGTTTCTGGCTTCAAACTGATAGACCAGTGAGACAAATGTCTGCACAGATAGGTACAATTTATTTATCATATGCAGTGCCAAAAGCAGGGAGTGACTACACACAGTCAGCCTATGTATTCTGTGCCTCAAATTTTGTAAATTCTGCAAGAAAGGACCCCAAATTCTGCAGTTGGAATAAACTGTGCAAATTAAGAATATTTCATACCATCTATTGATCAGGCATAATTGATTTTATATCCATGATTCATTTTTTTTAATTACAAAAATGGGGCAGGGAAGTTGGAGAAACAGGAAAAAGGAAGGTTGAAGGAAGATATATTCAAAAGCTTCTCTATAAAGTATGTATGCTATATATTTTTTAAACATGAAAACAAATTTACTCAGGATATTGGAATAGATAACAGACCAAACTTTCTGTCTAATGCAGCAAACCTGTGGTTGTAAAGAAGGAATACTGCTCTATTTTATAAGAGAAAGAGAAAGCTGTTGACCTCTATGTCAGAAGCATTTGCTAAGTGAAGCAGATCTGCTGTCAATAATTCTGCCACAAGTTTTAAACAAAATAAAAATAAAAATGCAGCTCTTATTATATTTACAGAAACAAGGCTACTGCCTGCCTGGATCCTGTACTGTCGCTCACTACTGCAGTTTCTAGGAAGAGTTTACACTCAGCTGAAGCAATAAGCTTAATTGGTGGGACAGACTGCCTTTCTATTTATAACCATGGCTGAAAATAGTAAGGCTGTAGTTAGCATAACTGTGCAACTCGGCCCCTTTGTAGCTTTCTACAAAGTCCAGAGCTTATGCAGAAAAGTTGCGCCCACACACAAAAAACAAGAAACAAAACAAAAGCGAAAACACACTGGGCATAACCCTGAGTACAAAATGAATGAATAACCATTACAGTGGACGCTCGGGTTGCGAACATGATCCATGCGGGAGGCACGTTCACAACCCGCAGCATTGGCAACCCGCAGCGGTGCATTTGTGCACGCACGGGTTGCGATTCGGTGCTCATGTGCAAAGCACGATTTAGCGCTTCTGTGCATGCGCAACTGCCAAAACCTGGAAGTAACCCATTCCAGTACTTCGGGTTTTGGCGCATCCGTAACCCGAAAAAATGCAACCTGAAGCGTCTGTAACCTGAGGTATGACTGTATTTAAGTAGAGAGTGAGAGAATGTGAATAACTTTTACAAATAAGGATCTAAGTCAAGGCCTATATCAAGATAAGGAGGCTTAATGAAAGTGTGGGCAGAGCTCCAAGAAGTCAGTCACCTGATGTCTCTCAGCTAAAGGAATCTGATAGAGAGTGACTGGGGCAAAAAAAAAAAAACCATTCAAACAAGATGGTCTGACTGACCTTCAGGAATGGACCTTCAGGATTTAGCTCTTGAGCTAAATCAGAGCAAATGGAAATACATTAAAGAATGCCCTATGACAAGTGTTTCCTGAAAACGAGCTGCCCTCAACCATAACCTCATAAGCAAAGAGTGTTGGGGAACAAACACTAAGAATATCTGTTTTATTTTACACAAGCCTAATTGGATCAGTATGAAAGGTGGAAACAAAACCTGAACCACAGACCAAGAAAACTTTCCCAACATTGTGAGAGAGTTATTGACATATTATGAAAGGACTTCTAACCGCTTCAAAACCAGCTTCAGACACAGGAAGTAAACGGTGGTGAGATAACAAACATTACTGTGGGATGGAATAAAAACAGTGGAAAAATGTTTGGCCATCTGAACTAATTCAAGTCAATATGGCTAGATAACGGTTGCTCGGGGGCAAAAGAGCAAAGAAGAGCTCCCACCAGGTGCCAGCTATATGTGCTGAACCAAAGGTGGACTGTTCCAGATGCTCTGCTTACGCCATGTTGGTACTCAAGATGACCCCATCCTTAATTGGTAGTAAGTGGTAGCATGGAGCTCATACACAGCTTGCTCTGATCTCCACTAATTGGCCGGCTTGGATGGTACCCTTATCTGTGGGGCTGGGAGGTTGGGCACAGAGAGGAGAAACATTGGCAATGTTTGGGCATTTGCCACCTGTGTTCCCGTGTGACAAATGCTATTCCATTGTATAATGAATGTATGCATCTTAGCTTGGGTGCGGACAGTCCATCACTGGACTAAGCCATCTCCTTGCTGTGGAGTCCATCCCACAGGTGCTCTTCAATAAAAGCACCAGAAGTGGTCACTCTGGCGTTTTAGACTTTTTCCTTGGTTCTTCTGCGAAATCCAAACTCCTGTGAGCCCTCTGGCTCTGCAGGGCGCAACACTATAGACACTATGGCATAGAGGTTTCTAGAACACACCTTCAGTGTGCCTGCAAAGGATGCTGGCCAGGTTGAAACAAGCCCACAAATCTCTTGCACATTTCTGTTGACTTAGGTCAGGCATCCCCACACTCGGCCCTCCAGCTGTTTTGGGACTACAACTCCCACCATCCCTGGCTAACAGGACCAGTGGTCAGGGATGATTGGAATTGTAGTCCCAAAACATCTGGAGGGCCAGGTTTGGGGAAGCCTGACTTAGGTGGTACCTTCATAAGCAGAGGATGAATGGCCATCTGTTATGGATGCTTTAGTTGAGATTACTGCACTGCAGCGAGTTGGACTCAACAACCCTTGGGGTTCCCCTTCCAACTGTTCTGTGAATCCTATGTTCCTCAAGCAAGTTCACTCAGAGAGGCGGCCAGGCCAGAGAGGTGAACACAAGAGTTGTGCTATGCTTTCAACACATCCAGCTCCCTTCCTGTGTCCTGTCAGAGCAAGAGCTCTGAAGGGGGGGGGGAGCAGCCGTAATGGCTCAGACTCACTGCTTGATTCTTCCACAAAGGGGGGGAAAGGAGGCTGGCACTGAAAAGAAAACAGAGAAGAAGAGATCCTAACAGCTGCTGGCTAGTAGACAAATCCACTGAATTGAATCCAACGTTCTCCAATTCTTTCACAAAGTAGTATCTCTTGTGCTGCGCTGTCTGCAAGATCAAGTTCCCTCTGGTTTTCTGGGTTTGTTTTGCTCCCCTGCCCTGTTACTTTGATGGTAGTTAGTGGTTTCCACTAACTATGCTTCGTTTAAAAACTTTAAAAGTTTAAAAACTTCTTCCAGCAAAAAAAAGGGGGGGCGGGAATCAAACCATGATGCGCTTTTTTCATTGAAGAATTTGCACTGAAGTAGATCTATGATTTACTCCTCATCAATTTTACTACCATGCAGGATATATTATATAAATCAGGCTTCCTCAACCTTGTCCCTCCAGATGTTTTTGGCCTACAACTCCCATGATCCCTAGCTAGCAGGACCAGTGGTCAGGGGAATTGTAGTCTCAAAACATCTGGAGGGCCGAGGTTGAGGAAGCCTGATATACCGTATTTTTCGCTCTATAACACGCAGTTTTTTCCTCCTGGAAAGTAAGGGGAAATGTCTGTGCGTGTTATGGAGCGAATGCCTACAGATGGCAGGGGAATCCGCTGCAGTTGTGAGCAGTCCGTGGCTCTCTTTGAAACTGCAAAGCGGGTGTAAGCGGCTCCTGTCAGCGAGCCGAGCCGGGCAGGAGGGAGAGAAGCAGAGCGGGGTTGGTTGCTTTAAAACAACCCCGTGCTCTATGTCCCTCTCTCTTCTCCACTGAGCTGCTAAGTAGCAGCAAAGCTTTTCAGCCAGCCTAGCCGGGAGGAGGGAGAGAAGCAGATCGGGGCTGGTTGCTTTAAAACAACCCCGTGTCCCTGCCTGCAGTTTTTTGCTGTCCGATTTTGGATCAGCCACTGTAGGGGCTGTGTGTGTGTGTGTGTGTGTGTTTGAGCTATCGTTCTCCTCCTCCTCCTTCCTGTTCACTCTCACAGCGCCCCAGCGCTCTCCTGCGACTTTAGGAGTGATACTCTGTGTGTCTCTCTGTGTGTGAGGCATCGTTCTCCTTCTCTTGCTTCCCCTTCACTCTCCCAGCGCCCCTGCTACTTCCAGTGCCCCTGCGACTTTAGGATTGATACTCTGTGTGTGTGTGTGTGTGTGTGTGTGTGTGTCTGTGTGTGTGTGAGGCATCGTTCTCCTCTTGCTTCCCCTTCACTCTCCCAGCGCCCCTGCGCTCTCCTGCGACTTTAGGATTGATACTGTGTGTGTGTGTGTGAGAGAGAGAGGGGGGGGATCGTTCTCCTTCTCTTGCTTCCCACTCCCAGCGCCCCTGTGCTCTCCTGCGACTTTAGGATTGATACTGTGTGTGTGTGTGTGTGTGTGTGTGTGTGTGGCATCGTTCTCCTCTTGCTTCCCCTTCACTCTCCCAGCGACCCTGCGCTCTCCTGCGACTTTGGGATTGATACTATGTGTGTGAGAGAGAGAGGGGGGGGGATCGTTCTCCTTCTCTTGCTTCCCACTCCCAGCGCCCCTGCGCTCTCCTGCGACTTTAGGATTGATACTCTGTGTGTGTGTGTGTGTGTGTGTGTGTGTGTGTGTGTCTGTGTGTGTGTGTGTGAGGCATCGTTCTCCTCTTGCTTCCCCTTCACTCTCCCAGCGCCCCTGCGCTCTCCTGCGACTTTAGGATTGATACTGTGTGTGTGTGTGAGAGAGAGAGAGAGGGGGGGGGATCGTTCTCCTTCTCTTGCTTCCCACTCCCAGCGCCCCTGCGCTCTCCTGCGACTTTAGGATTGATACTCTGTGTGTGTGTGTGTCTGTGTGTGAGAGGGATTGTTCTCCTCCTCCTGCTTCCTGTTCACTCCCCCAGCGCCCCTGCGACTTTAGGGCGACTTTAGCATGGATCCACATGGATCCTCAGGATTTTTGCATTGGGCTACCCCAAACTCACCGTCAGATCACATGTCTGTGGCCACAGCATGAACCACAAAAATCATACATCCACTGTTTTGTTTAGAATATTTTTTTCTTGTTTTCCTCCTCTAAAAACTACATGCGTGTTATGGTCTGGTGCGTGTTATAGAGCGAAAAATATGGTAAATACTAAAATGTAAGGTCTCTGTAAGAACAAGCCAGCTTCAGAACCACGGAAGTTAGTGGTAAACCACAGAGGTTAGTGGTAAAACCACGATCCTGGGTTTGAATGCAATGACTAAATTTAAATGAAAGTGGCAGCCAAAGCTGCCAAAGTCCTCCTACTAGGAGTGTGTACACACTATGCCTTTCAAGCACATTCAAAGCATATTCTCTCTCTCTCTCTCTCTCAAAGAATTCTGGGCATTGTAGTTTTCTCTTCACAGAGTTACAATTCCCAGAAATCCTTAACAGACTACAGTGGCTGGATTTGTGTGTGTGTGTGTGTTTTACGGGTGGATGCAAGGAGTGCAGGAAAGGCAGGGGTGGGGTGGAAGCCCAACCAGTGTGTGCGGTGCTAAGACATGGTTTAGCATGAAATGTAAACATATCCATAAATGGGCTAAGGATTTTGGTTATAATATTCAGTTAGAGTCATGGGGAGAGTTATGGAACGAAGGAATTCAATTTACTGCCTGTGGTGCTTTAAAAGAAAAGGTTATGATAATGATGTGTAGATGGTATATAACACCAACTAAACTTGCTAAAATGTATAAGACTAGAAATAAGGAAATGTAAAGAAATGGATGGAAAAGGATGGAAATTTCTATCATATGTGGTCGACATGCAGTAAAGTAAAGCTTACTGGGAAATGATATATAATGAGTTAAAGAAAATGTACAAAAGTACATTTGTTTAAAAAAAAACAACCAGAAGCATTTTTATTGGGTATAGTAGGTGAAGAAATCCCCCCAAAAAAGATCAGAAATAATTTATGTATGCAACAATGGCAACAAGGATTCTTTTAGCCCAAAAATGGAAGCAGCAGGAATTACCAACAATAGAAGAGTGGCAGATAAAGATGGTGGAATATGCAGAACTGGCGGAACTGACCGGGAAAATCCGAAACCAGCACGAACAAGCCTTCCAAAAAGATTGGAGTAAATTTGTACAATATTTGAAGGAAATTTGTAAACAATTAACAACACTTAGGGAATTAGGGAAACCATTAGACGGGAGGGAGGGAAGTCGATTAGCTCATATGAGCAAAAACATATGTGAATAACAAGGATGTATTTAAATGTTATGAAATGGAAAATTAATAAAAATATTAAAATAAAATAAACGCCACTGGTACAAAATAGAAGTGCTATGAACCAATCATTTGAGGCAATGGGATTGCTGTGGGCTCAAGCTGCTGCTTTCAATATATATAAAACCTCTCCAAACCATTTCATATTTCCTGTGCATCTCAACTATTATGAAGTCACTTGTCCTGTAGCGTTTGCCCTTTCCCATTATAAGAAACCCCAAAAAATGTTTAGCACTTAAATCCCAAGTGACATGAATATGAAAGTGAATCTATTGAATGCCTAAGAAAACAAGAGTTCGTCCTGTCCCTAAAAACTCCCTACAATAAAGAAAGCAACATTCTAAGACGGTTTAACAGGACTCAGGTGTTTAATGTTTACAGATTTCAATAGAATTTGGAACAATTTAGCAACACTAACTTCCACTAAAAGGGCTAAAATCCAAATTAGCAAAATACTAACCCAAGCAAAGGGAGGGGGGCAGGAGGTATAATGTCAGTTTTTAATATCCCATAAATGTAACATCAATTAAGTTAAATCATTAATATTGTGCTCACCGCCGAATATCTTCTGGAACTCTAGGATGCTGCCAGTACGGCAAAGGCTGAAATTTTTCTTTGCCGCATGCAACGTAAAAATGGTTATGTTCTAGCTCGTCAGACCCATGTACAGACTGGCCATTTAATGTAAACAGTCTGTAAGAAATGAATATTGAAAAAGTATATTATACCTATCAACAGAATACAGTCCCTCCAGTGTGCATAATTATCAGCTCCACTAGCAGCTTGTTTAATTATAAGTTTGGAAAAACCAAGAAAATTGGTTCCATTTTTCTGAAGCAATTTTCAAAGACTACCAGGGCGTAGCCAAGGGGGAGGCAGGTAAAGGCAGCTGCTCCTCCTGAATCAATACAAATAAATAAAAATACATAACTGAGGTTCTGCCCCGTCCCAAACAAGAGTCCTGCCCTCAATAATCAGCTCCCAACTGATTAAAAACAGAATAAACATTAAAAAATTCCCTAAACAGGGCTGCCTGCAGATGTCTTCTAAAAGTCAAGATAGTTGTTTATTTCCTTGACATCTGATGGGAGGGCGTTCCACAGGGCAGGCACCATCACCGAGAAGGCCCTCTGCCTAATAAAAGGCTTGCCCCCCCCAACAAAAATCTTGGCTACACCCATGAAGACTACACTGGCCCAGTGCAGGCACAATGCTGGCCACCCAAATAACTATCGAAAGCCCACAAGTAGGGCATGTGGGCAATATACCTCTCTTGCTGTTGCTCCTCAGGAGTTGGCATTCAGATACTTGCTGTCTTGCTTCAATAGCCAGTAGCCACTATGAATGTGACTCAGCTGCTTTTAAAGTAATCTAAGGCTGTGTATGCAATCCCATCTACTCTGCATCTGGTGTACTCCCACCACTGTCTTCAGAAGTTGTGTACACATGACATTAGCCACATAAGCACTGCTTACCTGTGGATACCCCCAGAGCGAGAAGATACTTTTTCATTTATCAGTCCAAGGACACCGTTCCAACTTTTCAGCGTGAACTTGGGGAGGAGAATTTTCACAGGCGGTATCAACATGTCTCCGTTTGTGAAAACACTATCAAAAGGACATATGAACAAGCTATTTTAAGTAAGGAAACTTCTGGGGGGAAATATTGTATTTAGAAAATTACTTTGATAAGGATATGTTTCATTAGGAATCCAGCTAGTTACATTTCAGGGACAAGCTTCAAATCTCAACCTCTCTGAGAAAACATTTTAACTCATCAGATAGTATTGTATATTTTCACGCATTTCCATCTGACATGATAGGGGAAACAAAAGTGAAATACGTGCAGTTGGAGAACCCAAGGAAGATACAGCCTTTGAAAATTCAATTACTTTCTCCTATACCGACAAAAGATGTCCTCAACAATTCCCAGAGGAAATAAACCACAATCCTTTTAAAGAGATAATAGAATCAATTGATTTCTTCAGTGAAGCTCACATTAGAAAATGGCTCTTCCTCTACCTGCAAAGATCCATGGAACCACTTTGAGACTAAAGCTGTAATCTTAAGTATACTGACCTGGAAGTTAAGTATAAATGAAATCAATGGGACTTACTTCTGAGTAAATATGATTAGGAACTGGGCTGCAAAAGCTTTGAAAAGAAGCAAAAGTTTGGATAAATCACAGGCAGACACTAAGCCAGTTGAAGTACCTATATATTTTTGGAGAATGGCTATTCCAAATCTCCACTCCTCTATTTTCCCCTGCTTAAAGTGTGCCTGTGTAGTGGGGCATCATTCCTCCTACAGTAATAGTGTAATCAAACGAAGAGCCAACACGCACAATACAGCAACAAGATTTGCTGAAAGGATTTTTCTTAACACTGCTGTTAACTTCCTTAAAGCATGTTACTATGAAAGGGGTAGTAGTTCTACTCTCTCATATGAGCAACACATCTGATATATAAGGCTGAGTTAACTATGACTACAATAGGATGTTGTTGTTGTTGTTTAGTCGTTTCCGACTCTTTGTGACCCCATGGACCAGAGCACGCCAGGCACTCCTATCTTCCACTGCCTCCCACAGTTTGGTCAAACTCATGCTGGTAGCTTCGAGAGCACTATCCAACCATCTCGTCCTCTGTCGTCCCCTTCTCCTTGTGCCCTCCATCTTTCCCAACATCAGGGTCTTTTCCAGGGAGTCTTCTCTTCTCATGAGGTGCCCAAAGTATTGGAGCCTCAGCTTCACGATCTGTCCTTCCAGTGAGCACTCAGGGCTGATTTCCTTCAGAATGGATAGGTTTGATCTTCTTGCAGTCCATGGGACTCTCAAGAGTCTCCTCCAGCACCATAATTCAAAAGCATCAATTCTTCGGCGATCAGCCTTCTTTATGGTCCAGCTCTCACTTCCATACATCACTACTGGGAAAACCATAGCTTTAACTATACAGACCTTTGTTGGCAAGGTGATGTCTCTGCTTTTTAAGATGCTGTCTAGGTTTGTCATTGCTTTTCTCCCAAGGAGCAGGCGTCTTTTAATTTCGTGGCAGCAGTGCTAAATATCCAGCTCTGTATACTTGACCCCAACCTACTTTCACATCCTGCTTTAGCATCACAGAGTGTATCAATAAAACTACATTATTGCAGTGGTTCTCAAACTTTTCCACACAGATCACTTCAGAATTGCTGAGGGTCTTGGTGGACTACTTAATTATATGCTGTTGTAGCAATAGCAACATGTTATGCTAGATGCTGCCTGGGTTTTAATTGTATCTTTACAGACAGTGTTGATCATCACCTGGATGAAGCTCATCTTTAAGTCTGTCAAGTGCTATGGTTCATTACTTTTGGGGTGAGAGACTGACTCAGAGGTGTTCTTTCCAGTCTACAGTATTCCCATTACAGCCGACCCTGCTCCAGAAGTCTTTTATGCATAAACTGGCTTTTCTTGACGGAAACTAAGAGAGCTGCAAAGCTCAAGCTTTTAAGATTCTGCTAACCATTCAGCTGGTTAATTTGGCTTCTAATAGAGTATTTCATACTTGCTTCTAACCTGTTACCCCCTGGCCTAAAGGTTGCAGAGAGATAAGACAGAAAATGAGAAGGTTCATTCTGGGGCAGCAAAGATCACAATCTGGCTAGTTAGCAGTATATTTGAGGATTTGATATTACAGCTCTCTGCTTCATTCCAAAGAATAGCACTGCATGATTTTCTAAGCTAATAATTTATCACAATTATATTCCACCTTTTCCTCTAAAGAAATTAAGTCAGCATAAACGCCCCTGCCTCTCCCATTTTATCCTATTTACTAAATTCACTGAAGTTAACAGACATGATGATTTTACTCTGGTTCTTTTGTGCCACAACCACTCATTTTTGAATCTGTGTACACATAAATTTGCCCAGAATTATCTAGCGAAATACTGTGTATTGGTGTTCTTTCTCCCAAGCCACCTTAAAGGCAACTTGAACACATTGAAACCTGGGTCTGTACATTTGAGGTTTCCTTATGAATTTCCAGGGGTGGAAACTGTCTGGGGAAACAGTTTGGCAATTTCATAAGGTGAAGACATCACTACCCAGTTTCCACTTACTGGTGTGGGCATACAGCATGTGGCTTCAATACACATCAAGCCATGCTAATTTGCACAGCAACAGGCAAACTGAACTTGAAAAACACAGAGAGAAAGCAACCTCGATGTGTTTTAAGCCACTAATGTGTGCACAGACTTAAGTTCATTAATTTCAATGAGTCTACTCTGATTAAGGTAACAACTTAGTTGAATACAGTTCCTAAACATCACAAGTAACAGGACCTCAATAGATATTTAATTCACATTACAAGAACTGTTATTGTGTGTGTGTGGTTACAAGTGCATTTTTATCTTATAAATATTCAAATATCATCCACAGTACAGCTATGTACCCAAAATTGCAAGGTACAAACCTCCATGATCTGATATACAATTCTGGTCTCAAAACAAATAGGTTTATTGTTCAAGCAAAAGGCAATGACAGACTTGTAGCAATAGTATTAACAAAATAATACAGAACATCCATCCATAAATATGAACCACCATCTATTATGTAAGAGAGAGACGTTACCAGAGACACCAACAAACTCAAATCCAGCTTGATTTCAGATTAACTCTCAAGTCAAATATTTATATTTGGCTGCTTATATTTAAAACAAAATTCTACAAGCCACAGAGGTTGCTATCAGAGGATATTTGGGGCCATCTAGTGGAATTCTCAGGGCATAGATACAAACCATGGACCCTAAATTAAAATGAATTTTATTTACAAATATATTAGGCCAATAATAAATATGAAAAGTCTAAAGAAAGTATTTGTTAGTCCTTCTGGTCAAGGATATCCCAACCCATTTTCAAGTACTTTTAAACACACCCATCCCTGCCCTTTTTCTTTACATAACTCAGAAGTCTGAAAAAGTGAGAATTAGATCGTCTTTACGTGATCCTCGTCAATCCAGATAAGCAATACAAATTGTTCAAATACTAGTTGCTGTGAATGCTGAAACTCTGCTTACTTTCCTTGTCCTACAAAAGAACTAAAGACAGCAGCTTGCTCTGCAAAACTTCTCTCACATGGAGACAAACTTAAGTTCTGTAATTTATTCCATGTATTTTTATCCCACCCATTCTCCAAGGAGCCCAGGACGGTATACATGATTCTCTCCCCACAACCAGTGCTTTGATTTTAAGGGGCACTCAAGGGTACGCAGTACTGGAACCTCTGTTTTGCTGTTGTTAAAAAGAGTAGCACTTACTGTAACATCATGGTGAGTTAGGTTTCTAGAAAAAAAGCACTGTCCACAGCAATCCTATGCCATCCTAGGCTGAGAGGTAGCAGCCCCATCTGCATACCATGGTAAACCACAGTTAATCATTTACCATGAATGTGCCCAATAGTTTTGCTCCTTCCCACTAGCACACAAAGGGAGCAAAGACTGTCGTGCCCATTTGCAGCCCTTGTTCTGAGGCAAGTGTGGGAAACTTCAGGCCCTCGGATGTTACTGAACTACAACTCCCATAAGACTAGTGCACATGGTCAACAGCCAAGGATGATGCGAATTGCTCAGGGACATCTAGATGGCCCAAGATTACCTGCACCTGTTCATAGGTAACATTAAACTGGGGATTGTTGTTTATTTGTCCCCAGTCTTTGTGCATGGCGAGCCATGGTTTATGCCACGCAGTGATGTCCAAACTTTTTTCAAAGAGGGCCAGATTTGATGAAGTGAAGGGCCATGAGGGCCAACCAAAGTTGTTGAGGATTTAAGTTGTTGAGGTTTTTTTAGGATTTTACCCCAGGAAATAAACTGCCACAGGGGCCCGCAGATTAAACCAACCGGCTGGCTGAATTGGGCCCCCAAAGCGGACTTTGGATGTGCCTAGTCGTGATGTTTCAGACACAGGCAATGACTAGCCAAAGGTCACCTGGTTAACTTCATGCCTAACTAAGGATTTGAACACAGATCCTAGTCAAACACTCTAGCCATCTTTATAGTTATTTTTTATTTCAGAAGAACATTGATAACATCTGAGGATTTGTTAATAATATATGCACTATTTTTAAACAACAACAACAATAACCATATACTTACCTAATATTTAGTGGCTTATTATAGTTTGAATGCCATTTGGAAGGTACTTTTATATTACTGTGGACCACGGGTCGAATCTGCAAAAACAGTGAAACTCAAATTGTATGATGCAACATGTTTCTAAGGTATGCGGGAGGAGAGAGGTTAGCCTTTCCACCCCAGTACTGTCTTCCTGATTAAAATCTCCCTAAAACAGCTATCTATTTACTCCATGGCCAAACTTACAGGTCTCTCTATGGGCAAACAACAGCATCAAAAGGGAGTGGGGGTTCTTTTCTTTGCTTCCACTTTTAATCTACCCATTGTTTGCAGTTTTGCATAAACAAATCATGGTTAGTCTAAACCAGAAGTAGTCAACCTGGTCCCTAGTGCCCACTAGTGGGCGTTTCAGGATTCCAGGTGGGCAGTAGGGGGTTCTATACCACATGTTACTGCAGCACTGGTGGGTGGTAAGGAAATTTTACCGTCAAGAAAAATGCATTAGTGGGTGGTAAGTATAAAAAGGTTAGGTAAAGGTAAAGGGACCCCTGACCATTAGGCCCAGTCGCAGATGACTCTGGGGTTGCGGCATTCATCTCGCTTTACTGGCCGAGGGAGCCGGCGTACAGCTTCCGGGTCATGTGGCCAGCATGACTAAGCCACTTCTGGCAAACCAGAGCAGCGCACGGAAACGCCGTTTACCTTCCCGCCAGAGCGGTACCTATTTATCCACTTGCACTTTGACATGCTTTCGAACTGCTAGGTTGGCAGAGCAGGGACTGAGCAACGGGAGCTCACCCCGTCGCAGGGATATGAACAGCCGCCCTTCCAATTGGCAAGTCCTAGGCTCTGTGGTTTAACCCACAGCGCCACCCACGAAAAAGGTTGACTACCCCTGGTCTAAAGGAAGGGTGGGGAACCTGCGGTCCTCCGGGGATTTAAAAATCACTGGTCATTGGGGCGATGCTGGCCGGAGCTTATGGAAGTTGAGCATGACTTTAGCATAATTTCAAAGGTGCCTTGAACTTGTCTTTTTAAATGAGTTGGTGCTAGGAAGACTGAGCAAACGTTTCCTGCTGCCAAATAAATGAAAACTCCACTGATCAAATACTCACCACCTCATCCCTCTTCTTTCTTTGAGGTTTCTTTGCCCCTATACTGAAATAACTTAAAAGGAAAAATATAATCAGAATAAACAGAATGTTATTCAACAGCTTGCAAATTCAGTTAAACATTTTGGCCTCACGGAATACAGGACCTTGATTTATCTGAATCTTCTTAGTCCAAATGTAATACCAGAAAAAAGAGGCTGTTGTACCACCAGATACAGGCATCTGACTTTGAAAGAGCAACTCGTTTTGAAGTCTCAGAGCAGGAGAGAAAGGGTTTAAGCTTTCACTGACTTAGATGAAGTAGGGATAAGTCCACAAAAGTTTACGCCATTATATGCCATCCATATGCACCTACCCAGACCCTGAGATCATCTCCTGAGGCCCTTCTTCGTGTGCCTCCTCCAGGAGAGGTCCAGAGGGTGGCAACACGAGAATGGGCCTTTTCTGCAGTGGCTCCCCATCTGTGGAATGCTCTCCCCAGGGAAGTTTGCCTGGCGCCTTTATTATACACCTTTAGGCACCAGTCAAAAACATTCCTTTGACATCTTATGCCCTTTTGAAATGTGTTGAGGGGGAGGGTTCCTGGGTGGTTTTGTTTTTATTTTGATTATGTATTTTGTGATATTTATATTCTGATTTTATTCTGTGAACTGCCCTGAGACTTGGGAGTATAGAGTGGTATATAAATTCAATAAATAAATAAAGTAAAGTAAATAATAAACTTGTTACTCTTTAAGGTTCCACAAGACTGTTGTTTTAGAAACATTCAAGTTTTCCACAAATGACTGCCTCATAGAAAATGCTTAAGAATAAATAATAAAAAAATGACGCTGTAAAGTTACTGTACTTTACCATACCCATAAACAGAATGTGCTTGGGATCTTTCAGTTTATTTTAAATCTACTGTAGTGTGGTGTCATTTTCAATTCTTCAAATGTATAAGAGTCACTTCACAGGCATCCAAGTTCACAAATTTATAGGCACTTTACAAACTTGTAACCTACAGTGAAACCTCTGCATTCCATGTTTACTCCAAATGTATTGAACTCTGAGAAGAGCAAGGAAATGGATTTTATTTCCTCTGCCCTGAAACACTAATAAACAAATGCAAACAGCAGTCATCCTGCATTTGTGAGGGCATAAGTAGGTTCAAACAAAAATCTGATCAAACGGGTTTGCACTTACAACACAGAGAGGAATGTAAACACAGCCTACTCAAAACCGCTGCTCAGAATTAAAATAAATGGCCTTGAAAGCTGCATTTCAGTATTCAAAGAATTGTTATCTGTGAGTGATTCCAATTTCTGCCTGCACTTCTCTCCATTAAATTCACCAAGCAAGAACAATGTCAGGAACACGTTGGTGTAATGCTTTTTACTGTTGTATTCCAGACAGGAGATTCACATTTAAGTTGGAAATCTTAGATGTTTTTACTCAATCACCCTTTAGTGAAATAGTAAGCAATCATAAGAGTCTGCAGACTTGTTTTGGGCTCGTAACCAAGGGAATGAAGGAGGGAAGGATAGAGGATTGGCAACGGAGAGCATAATAGTGAACACCATCAAAGAGCACTGGAAAGGGAGAAGACACAAAGCAGAAAAAGAAGTTGTTTGCGTTAAGAGTAATGAACAGGGAGTCCTTCAGATGTTATTGGACTACATTCAACTCCGATCAGCCCTAGCCTGGCAAACAATCAGGAGTGAAGGAAGTAGCAGTCCTGCAACATCTGAAGCGCCACAGGTTCCTCAGTCCTGTATTAAGAGGCCAGTCCCTATTTGCGTATGTCTACACAGGTAGGGTTTGGATGCATTCGGTCTCTGTAAAGAGTGTAAGCTATCTGAAAGGCCAGAATTGCAAAATCAAAGCAAGGTCCACATGATGGAAGGGGGACACGAAACCTTTTGCAACACAGGCACTTTTTTCTGGTGTAGTACATTCAGGTGTCAAGCCTAGGTAATATGGCTGTGCTGTCAACCTCAGAGATTCCTTAGCTGTGATTCCTGACCTTCCAGGCTCTACAATTCTATTTTCTTAGGAAATACAGGGACAACCCTTTCATATGCAAGGCTAACGTTTTAAAATTCTCTACAATGTGCATGTCTTGGCAAGCCACTCCGGTTTCCGCTGGAAGAGAAATCTCAAGTTCCTGCGCATTTTGATACACTAGACTACAGGATCTGCATCACCCAAATTGTTCCTGATCGCCTCCGTTCAAACCTCTTCATACTTACTTCAGTTTCCTAAACCTTTCCCTGCCGGCAACCACGTATCTGCCTCCTTGCTCAATGTCGGTCAGGTCCATAACCGAATGCCCTTGGCGGGGTGTGTATATTTTCCTCACCCCAAAGGGTGTGGCCACGCCTTCGTTGAGTTGTATCATGAAGGCTTCGAAGTTAGGCACATAGCGGTGGTTGATCACAAACTTCCTTCCCAAATAGAAGGGGTCGCCATTACGGTACACCCAAATCGTCCGGGCAGGGGTGACGTCTGTCAAGCTATAGACGGCTCGAGGCCGAGTCGCTCCCACCATACTGAAGTCACCAGTTCAGACAGACAGTGAGGGCTGGGGAGGAGTGGCGTTTGGGGAAGAACACAAAATATACAGCAGTGCATTTAAAAAAGAAAGGAAACCCCAATAAACAAATCCAGGACCCCTCCCATACACCCCAAAGCAAAGGGAACTGGGGCAGAGAAGGTGGCTGCAGAACTCCTGTTCAGACCTCTTACCACCTACTTCATAGTGGCACCAAAGTGGGGACACCCCCACCCCACCCTAGCCCCACCCCAAAGTTTTCCAAGGGGCAACTTTGTGTGTGTGTGTGTGTGTGTGTCTCCCACCTGAGCCTCACACCCCCAATACATAAAAGCCTGACATCACGCTGTGTGTAGCAGGATTGTGACTGCAGCCCTCAGCCAACAAAATAGGTCCCCACAAGGGTTTCCCTGGAAACGCATTGGGAGAGGGAGGGAGGTGTCTCAGGCTGCAAAGGGATTCCCAGGCGCGCCCTGAGGGCTGCGCGCGATCCCGAAGCCTTGGAAGGCGGGAAGCGCGAGACTTGTGCGGGCGGGCGCCTCCTTCGGCGCCAACCGTGTGACCCCCCTGCCCCACTTATGGGTCAAGGAAAATGGCCACGTGCAGCAGCAACGACCAGCTCCCCTCAAACCAAGGACTCTCCCGTTCCTGGGGAGTTTCTCCATTTTCTACAAGTCCTCACTCACCGCGCGCTTCATTTCCAGTTTAAAATAAAAGGGTGAAAACCCCGCAGCCCCATCCTCTTCCTCATTGCTGTCTCCTCAGAGAGTTGCAACTACGCACCCCCCTCTTCTGGGGGTGCAAAGTTATCCCCTCTCTTCTCCTGGTCACCGTCTCCTGGTTCTTTTCCCCACACAACGCAGATCAATTGCCGCCTCGCGCCCCGCCCGGGCTTATTGCTATGCCCTCGATGCAAACAAAACAAAACCCAGGTTGTGTGTTTCCCTCCTTCGTTGAAAGAACCGAGAAAAGAACCGGCGAGCCAGCCCTGCTAAATCTGCACAACCTTCAGCAGATCTCTCGCAGCAACGCAAATGCACTTGTGGGACAGGGAGGGCATTTCAAAATAAGGAGGAAACAGATAATTCCGCCCTTTTTTTCTTTTGCAAGCATCAGCTGGGACCTGATCGTTTGGAAAGCAAGATATTGGAAGGGGAGGCCGACTTTGTGAGAGAGAGGGATAGGTAAAGGTAAAGGGAGCCCTGACCATTAGGTCCAGTCGTGACCGACTCTGGGGTCGCGGCGCTCATCTTGCTTTACTGGCCGAGGGAACCGGCATACAGCTTCTGGGTCATGTGGCCAGCATGACTAAGCCACTTCTGGTGAACCAGAGCAGCGCACGGAACACCGTTTACCTTCCCGCCAGAGTGGTACCTATTTATCTACTTGCACTTTGATGTGCTTTCGAACTGCTAGGTTGGCAGGAGCAGGGACCGAGCAATGGGAGCTCACCCTGTCACAGGGATTCAAACCGCCAACCTTCTGATTGGCAAATCCTAGCCTCTGTGGTTTAACCCACAGCGCCGCAAGCAAACTTTTTTAAGCCTTCCAGTGCAATGCCAAATCATGTTCATTGCGGCTGACTCCTAGGTAAACGAGCATAGCCGTATCTGAAGAAGTTTGCATGCACATGAAAGCTCATACCAATAACAAACTTAGTTGGTCTCTAAGGTGCTACTGGAAGGAATTTATTATTATTATTATTATTATTTATTTATTTATTTTGTTTCAATAAGCTAAACGTATAGCTAAACAAGCTAGTTTAGGGCCCCACTCTCTTGGGGGACCCCAAAAAATTTAAAGGAAAAAAAATCTGGATGTACATTTCCAAAATAGAAGATTAAAAAACAAATAAAATAAAACCTACATACAGCAACAGTGGCAAATGGCTTTAGATACCTATTAGGTCCATAAATTACCATATAGCATATATTCAACACAAAAAACAGTGTTTGTTGTTGGCAAAGGACAGCTGGTCATATAAAGGGCCCCATTACTTTCAGTAGCTTATTAAACCTAAATCCGGCCCTGACTGCATCCTCCAGCAACTCCGGGAGGAAGCCCCATTGGAGATATGCTTCTGTGTAAGCATGCATAGGATTTCACCGTGGGTGGGATTCAACTCTGTTTTACCCAGAGCAGGCCAAGCTTAGTTCTATTTATTAATTTCATTGGGTCTACTCTTAAATCAAACCCAGTTCAATACCACCCTGAGTATCTAACCATGTTTTTTTTAATATATTAATTTTATTACAACATGTGACTTGGCTCTAAAAAGGGGCATTGTTCTCCCATTCACTCAGAGAAGCAGGCCTATTTATTTTCATCAAATCTTTTCGTTTATTCTTACTAGAAATGGGGCAGGGGTGTTATACATCCGTTTTCCAACCCCAACCGTTGTTTTAGCTCAGGTCAGCAAACTTTTCCAGCAGGGGCCAGTGCACTGTCCCTCAGACCTTGTGAGGGGCCGGACTATATTTGGGGGGGGGGACGAATTCCTATGCCCCACAAATAACCCAGAGATGCATTTTAAATAAAAGGACACATTCTACTCATGTAAAAACACACTAATTCCCAGATTGTCCGCAGGCTGGATTTAGAAGGTGATTGGGCCGGATCTGGCCCCCGGGCCTTAGTTTGCCTACCCATGTCTGGGGCAAAGTTAACCACAAAGAAAGGTGATTGAGTAGGAGATCTGCTAGCTTGGTGGTGTGTCCCAACACCTGAAAAGCACACACTCTCCAAAACAAAACAAACAAACAACCAGAAGTACCAACAAAAGTTAAATAAATTTGGGTCAATAGGAAAAGATGGAAGCACAGAATATAAAGTATGCAATGTACGAACCAGGAAGGGTAAGTATTCTTTTATTATAACATAATTCAATTTTAGATAGCAAAAGGAAAAGATAGGCACAACTATCTAAGCAAAAAATAATGCAAGATTGATTCTTAACACACAAACTTCAAACATACTGAAGCATATTCTTGCCCAGATGTTCAATACAGTTTTGCTCTCTGTTTTGATAATTAATAGTTCCAGAATCTCTTAGCTATTTGTGATCAGCATTTCTTAACGTTGCACTCCTAAGCACACTTGCTTGAATTTTTCAATCAAATCAAGCAGGAATAATTTATTATTATTATTTATTATTCCAAGTTAGCATAGAATAAGGCTGTGATAAACGGCATCATATATGAGGACATATTTTGGATATTCCGGACTAAGGTAAGCAAAACTGAAAATTAGATTGCACCTAGGATTTTTTTTGATTTTTTTTTTAATGAATAGGACTGGTCCTCACACAAGGCAGAATGAGGGGAAAACCTCAGGGAGCTGATTTTGGATGCCATTAAATTCTTAGTTTTTAAAAAAATATTCTTATTGCTAGGGAGGGGAGAAGTGCGATTTTCTGCTTTGGGTACTATTGACATTGACAGGGCAGGGAATGCCTTTTGCAGTGCCACACATCAGGCAGCAAACTGCCTTGGGTCAGTCCTGGTTATTTATTATTGCATTAATATCCCACCTTTCACCTAAGGAGCTCAAGGTGGCAAGTGCAGTTCTGCCACTTCCCTGTTTTATCCTCACAACAACCCTGCGAGGCAAGAAACTAAGAGTATCTGACTGGCCCAGGGTCAACCTGCAGGCTTCATGGCTGTGTGGAGATTTGAATCCGGGTCTCACAAATCCTAGTCCAACACTCTAAACAATATAACCGGCTTGATATGTAACTGCGCTTTAAAAAACAAAAACAAAACCTTTCTACCTTATGTGCTCTATCTGTTCGACAGCTGCATTCATTGCCTCTTAACATTGTTTAATAAATAATACCATTTTCCAAATCCGATAACCTGTTAGCAAATATATATGTAAATTATTCATTCAGCTAGAGAAATGATGTTATTGTACAACCGTAACAAATTGTTGCATTTGAACCAATGATGTGGAAAACTGTATAATTCAATGAATGCAGATAGATGAATTGTATTCGGTCTTGTATTAACCATGAGTGAAATTCTGCAGAGCCTTTTTCCTGAGAACATTTTTACTTCCTCGTGTCTGGCAAGGCCCGTGGAAATCCCCAGAGACGCATCCTACTTACACCTCCATCAGGAGCAAAAGTAAGTTTCACATGAGTAAACACATCCAGCATCTTTATGGTAGTACCATCAAAAAAATGTCTCGTATGAGGTTTAAGCTGGGGGAGAAAGAACACAGTAAATTTGGTAATAGTAGTTGCAGACAAGATTCTCATTCCAATCTTATATTTTTTGTCTAGTTGCGTGTCGAGGTCCCCAAGCCACCCCCTAAATAAATCACAATTCACACAGAATTTTTGTTTAAGGTTTTTGGCATAATTTTGGCCACAACTTTATTAAAATACATAAATGTGAGTGGTTGTGTAGGCATTGGTTCCAACTATCTGTCCCCGTCCAGGGACAGAACTGACTTCCGGATTTTGCAGTAGGCAAAAACCAAATGGCACCAGCCAATCTGCCAAATGGACAAAATTCCTACCAGGCCCCTGCCCCAAAAGCAGATGACCCCATGACAGGCATAGCAATGTCAAACGCAACAGCCCTAAATTAGGGAGGGTGAGCGGGCGATCCGATGCACGCAGCAAAAGAGACTGCAAAAGGCTACATGCCAAGAATATATAACCTTCGGGCCAACCCTCTAAATGGTAACATCAAAATCCCCCCAACAACCCAAATTGGCCCAATCACAGTCATGGCCATCCGAATGGTCCCGCCCAATAACCAAGAGGGGGTGTCCTGTTAGACCCTACCACAACACATGCTCTCCATGAGGGAGAACACGCTTTGTGGATGTTGTATGTTTGTCGCTTTTGTTTTTCTGGAACTCATAATTGCTTTTTGTAAAGTGCTTCCCACCCATAATACAGATATATTCATATTCAGTTGATCTAGAGATTCAAAGCTGACCTTTGTTGCAGGTACCAGTGTGTTCCATTTTGGACCTTGCTTCAAAGTCCACTTTTGTGCATTATATTCATTTTCTTCTTCTGTATTCAAAATACAGGCCTCAAGTTTAAATGTATCTGGAAAGTTTCCTAATAGTGAAATGGAATAAAATAAAATAATTGAATGTGATATGCTAATAGTTCCTTCCAAATAAATTAGGGCTGCAATCTTATATACACTTACCCAGGAAGAAGTCCCATTCAACTCAGTAAGTATTACTTCTGAGTAAAGAGATATATGGTTGCATTTTAAGATTGGAACCCTTTGCACACTTGCTGAGGTAAAACTCCACTGAATTCAGTGATAAGAGCCCCCCCCCCAAAAAAATAAACATGCTTAGGATCATACTGCACAGATTATATAGTAGTACCCTGTGGCATTTTCAAAGGTGAAATATTAATATTACCCACTACAGCCTGCTTCTTAAAACATCTGCCTGACTCTTACAGTTTGAAAGGAGGGACAAAATTTTAAAACATTCATTATGCTCGATTTAGTATAACAAAATTTGCTGAATTTTAACCAAATCTTCCATATCTATCTATCATCTATCTATCTATCTATCTATCTATCTATCTGTTTGGACCAAAATTTTTGGAAACACATTGAATAGTAGTAAACTTTTCACAGAGTTATCTAGGTAAAGAGGGTTTGACATAAGACTAACATAACAAGAAATTTGTACCTTTAAAGTGACTGGTGTCTATTTCTATGTGCGTTATAACACCTGAATGTCCCAATCGAAAGACTGCCCATTCACTTCCTGGTACAAGTAAGATTCCTTTGTCACCAAGCTGGAATTAAAAGGAAGACTTTTATTTTTTTTAGTGGCTAATTCCCCCTCGTGATCCACTCATATAGTAATATCCATTTGTGGGGGATTCCAATACGCAGCAGTTTCCATGTTATCTCCTTTGCTCAAAAAACTGCATTTTGTCTGGAAACGTATTGTTTCAATATACTGTTGTGTGTGTTCATTGTTGTGGGAGGCATCATAAAGATCAATAAAACACTTTAATGACAAGAAATAGCTGAGGAATACTGAAAATCTTACATTCATTGCAGCTTCTAAAGATCAGTGTTCTTCTGTGTATGAATTATGTTTAGGAATTGGATAGGAGTTGTTATAAATAATTTGTTTCTTACCTTTAAAATGGGTGGTCTTTGCAGACTTCTGCCTGTTTCCCATCCATCTTTCATGGACTTTGCTCTTCCTGGTCCTAACCAGTCACCAAAACAAAAGAGTAGAGACACTATATAGAGAGAAGAACTCAAAAGTCTTAACTATGAATCACCTTATTCCTCAATTTTTTATGTTCTAAAGTGATTCCCCCCCCCTGAACTTAGTAGGGCTATCTTTTGATGAGATAAACCTCAGCTGATTAACTGTAAATAATGTAATTGGTCACTTAATGATGATTTCTTAATTAAATTTCTTTAACAATAAAACAACAGTTTCCAAGGGAAAAAATGCTTTAGCCAGGTTCCAAAGAACCACACAATTAGTTCTGCATACCCAATAGGGATTTGGACTTGTGCATATTAAACATTAATTCGAGTGAAGTTTCAAAATGAGTTTCTGATATGGCATATTGATCTGCTGTTCAAATACAAGGGTGTCAAAATTTTCATTAAGCACATTCCTGTGCTTATGGGTTCCCTAACTAATAAGTGGCATGTTTGTAGCTGACAAAACCGTTTTCAATTAATTAATCAAACTAATTCAATAACTAAATATTGCAACCCAGAATTTAGTGTTCATGGTAGATCACATTTGATTTGCATCCATATTGCAGATATATATTAATACCTTATTTAGCTGGGTCTTTCTAATACAAATCCTTCATCTAGACATGATTTTTCCTCTGTTCCATATATATATATATATATATATATATATATATATATATATATTCCTTCATTTTCCATGACCATGTGTTTGGAATTCTGCTATAAATAGCAAAGGAGTCTGAAGATTTATAACTGCCAGGCAAAAAGCAGTCTTGGGAAACAAGAGGAATCCAAGAACGGGCTGTTTAGGGGAACCAATACTGTGTTAAAGACTAGTGGTTCTCTGTTCCCCTGTTTTGTAATAAGTCTTGGAAAAAAGAAATACCAGAAATTACATTCTCCTCAGAAGGAAGCTGAATGTGTGAACCACTATCCACTGCAATTTCCTGATGCTAGGGGAAATGAGTATGAAAAAATATATCTGAAAAATTATATCCAAAATTCTCTACCTTGCTCTGCCCATTCATCTACTGTACCTATAAACTGGAGAAACTATTTTCAGCTGGGCAAAATATCATGCTTAACCAATGTCATTGGACTCTCAGCTAAAACAGAATGGAATTCACCAAACACTACTGCTTGCACCATGCCTGTTTATTTCACTTGGGTTTACTGAGCCTAAGTGCCGTTAATGGGCATAGTATTTCATGGATTATTCCCATAAACAACAATTGTGAGGGATTGTTTAGCAGTTCACTAAAAAGTTGACAGCTTAATTTCACGAAAACATCACGTTCAAACTGCATTACATGAAACCAAATCAATGGCTATAAACAAAGCCTGGTGTGATTCTTACCTAAAATATTCCCAGGATGGCCTAACTGAGCATCACTGTATCCAACACAGACACCTCCGTTCACCATTGCCACCAAATCACTCAAGTGGTTCAGGCCAGAGAGTGGCCATTCTCTCTGCATTGTACCGTACACTTTTAAACGTGCAATTCCACCATCTGGGAAGGGGAAAGTGTTTTAATTCTGGTTTCATGCCAGAAGAAAAGGATGCACATATTTTGATTAGAGAAAATAATGCATATGCACATTTCTATATTTTTAAGTAGTTACATTTTACAATAATATACGGCGGATATAACTTAATATATGCTATGATGATTGTTAAGGGAGAGACAGAAATAACAAGGAAAGAATGTGAGCAAATGGTGTTACATATACAGCTGTGGTGCAGCTTCATCGCTGTGGTTCTCCAGATGTTCATTGTCTCCCAACTCCCACCAGTACCAGCCAGAATGGCTAATAGTCAGGGATAACTGACAGCAACATCTGGAGGGTCACAGGTTCATTTCCTCTGATAGGGATCTTACCTGGATATATGTTGAGTCTTAAGTGTGTCCATTTTTGCTTCAAAGTTGCAACAAAATAGTTGTGGGCAGCATCAAGGTTTCCTGATTTTATCTTTGAGATGGGAACTAAGGAAGTCCATTCATCTGACCTCATCTAAAAATAAATATTCATTAGCTGGTTAACTTTCAAGGAAATGATAACTTTACTTAGATTTCTTTTTAATACACCTGAGCTGGTATAGAGGTGACCCCACACCCATATCAAGACTACCTTTAAAATATTTAGGGTGCTTACGTAACTCAGATGTAAAACTTTTGAAATGTGCAGTGCCGCTAAAATTGGCCTCTTTAAGGCAACCTTAAAGGTAAAGGTAAAGGTAACCCTGACCGTTAGGTCCAGTCGCGGACGACTCTGGGGTTGCAGCGCTCATCTCGCTTTACTGGCCGAGGGAGCTTCCGGGTCATGTGGCCAGCATGACTAAGCCGCTTCTGGCAAACCAGAGCAGTGCACGGAAACGCCATTTACCTTCCCGCCGGTGCGGTACCTATTTATCTACTTGCACTTTGATGTGCTTTCGAGCAGGCTTAGCAGGTGACTAATGTTACAAACTTGTAGATAGGTGTGATCTGGTAAACCAGCCATTCATAGCACAGCCTCATAGGCCACTTGTTGTCCCCATCCTGTTTACTTGTTTACTCCAGGGAAATTCCAAATACCCGTTGTTTATAGCCCTTTCTCAAGTATAGAAATATCTAAGGTCTACCTAAGCGCATCAAAAGTAGGAGTGGTAATAGGAGAATGTTTTCATCACAATTTACATGCTCTCTTTTATGTATTTACTCTGTGCATAGTGAGAAGAGTGAGACCATATTTGCTGGACTTCCCTGCATTGCTCTCTCTGTTAACCCCACTCCTGATATCCACAGATTGAAACAGAGCCTTTGCACATACCCTATCACAAACTCCTATATATTCCTCTTTACAAATGTTGCGTTAATTAAAAAAATGGCATAGTGACTCGCTCACTGAATTATAAAAGCCATGAGGAATGAGGCAAAAGCAGCTAGAAAACAACCCAAACTTTGGAGAAACAAGCCATGAAGAAGAAGAGGAGGAGGAGGAGTTTGGATTTGATATCCGGCTTTATCACTACCCGAAGGAGTCTCAAAGCAGCTAACATTCTCCTTTCTCTTCCTCCCCCACAACAAACACTCTTTGAGGTGAGTGAGGCTGAGAGACTTCAAAGAAGTGTGACTGGCCCAAGGTCACCCAGCAGCTGCAAGTGGAGGAACGAAGACGCGAACCCGGTTCACCAGATTACAAGTCTACTGCTCTTAACCACTACACCACACTGGCTCTCTTTGGAGAAACAAGCCATGGCTTGTTTGGTGGTCTGGGATAACTCATAGTTAACTTGTGGTTTAACAACTCATTTCTTATCATTATTTGTAAAGTAGGCTTTAGAGATTAGGGCTGCAGAGAGAGCTGTGGGTAAATAAATTGAGAAAGAGGGGATATGTGGGAGATGGTTCAGAGAAGCAGAAGGTAGTATAGAGTTCAGAAGCATAATAGGCCTTTATCCCCATTGGTTGCTGCTAGTCACTCCCTATATGTGGCATCTGCATGGTGCAGCCTATCCCCTTTCCCCACCTTCGTATTTTGCAGATGCCAAGAGGCAATTTCATTGGGACACGGGTGGCGCTGTGGTCTAAACCACTGAGTCTAGGGCTTGCCAATCGGAAGGTCAGTGGTTCGAATCCCCGCGACAGGGTGAGCTCCCATTGCTCGGTTCCAGCTCCTGCCAACCTAGCAGTTTGAAAGCACGCCAGTGCAAGTAGATAAATAGGTACCGCTCCACACTAATAGGTGGTGATGGTAGTCTAAAATAATGTGCCTTAACATTTTGATAAAACACAGTAATTTTAGCGCAATAAGTCAGTGTTATCTGGTGCTTTTCCTACACAGCCATCCCAGTTACCTCCTTGACAATCCTCAGCTCTTCATCCGAAGCAGCTGTTCCTATTCTGTTCCCTCTTGCTGGCAGCGCTGGTACCTCCTCTGCAAAGACAATATGCCCAACAGAAATTTAAGTAGATAATACGGGCATAATCAAAACCTCTTCCACATCCGCTTCCGAAAAGCTAATTGTTGAGATTCACTATTTTATCTCGTAAAATATTATATTAGCAACAGGGTATCTACTGTAGGGCTAAGGGGGGGGTGGTTTGGGGAGACTAGAGAGCAAACTAAACATGACTTTGAACACCACGTGCAGAAACATGAAAAAATGAAAAGCTGCTGATATGTGAGAGACAACACCCGCTTCCATCATTGCCAACACGACCATTGCCGTTTACTACATTGATATTGTTGGGGTAAAGATAGATAGATAGATAGATAGATGATAGATAGATGATAGATAGATAGATAGATAGATAGATAGATAGATAGATAGATAGATAGATAGATTCTTTATTGTCATTACACAAGTGCAACATTGCACAAGTGCAACGAAATTGGATGCCATCCCTTAAAAACAACAAAAGCAAAACAACAACAACAACCAAACAAACCACCTTCCAGCCACACCCACACCCACACCCATCAAACTCCCAGGTCTCCCTATCGAGTTACAGCATTCAAAAAGGCCACAGCTCTTGGATAGAAACTGTTTTTCAGTCTATTTGTCCTTGACTTGATGTTTCTATACCTCCTGCCTATACCTCCTGCCTATACCTCCTGCCAGAAAGCTTCTGTCAGGATGTCCCTGTGATGCAGATGAGGTTGGGATTAGCACAATGTAGCAGCACGTGGGATGAATGCATCATAATCAGTGCACACTCTCCTAATCACATTTGTGCCATTTCAGACATTAAATCATAGAATTGTAGGATGGGAAGGGACCATTTAGTCCAACCCTCTGCAAGGTAGACATCTTTTTGCCCAACATGGTGCTCGAACCCACATCTCTGAGATTAAGAATCTCATGCTCTACCAACTGAGGTATCTGGATACCCTTGCTGCTCTTTTATAGTCAGCATAGCTCTGTGCTGGTAACAGAAGATTAGAAACAAGCAGAGTCATGAATGGCGAAACATTACTATGGCTTTTTGATCTCCAGTGCCTGTATTAGCCCCTAGAAATCCTGTGCCTGGTAGCTAAACCTGAAAAAGCCTCTCCTTCACACTTTCCCAATAGCCAGTCCCTCCTGCTGAGGGTCCATATTTGGCATCCCTTGCCCCCTCCATGATGTTTCGTAACCTCTAGCCCAGGCATAGGCAAACTCGGCCCTTCAGATGTTTTGGGGCTACATTTCCCATCATCCCTGACCACTGGTCCTGTCAGCTAGGGATCATGGGAGTTGTAGTCCCAAAACATCTGGAGGGCCGAGTTTGCCTGTGCCTGCTCTAGCCCTAGGCATATCTGTCAGCCTTCCCCTTTTTTGCGGGAAATTCCCTTATTCCAGCACTGTTTCCCACTGCTTCCCACTGCTATCCTGGATTGTTAGATATCCCGTAGACTGTCCCCGGGAAAGGTGAGGCTGCTGATCCCTTATTTTCAAATCTGAAAGTTGACAGCTATGGCCCTAGGCCTTGAAGAAAAGTTTCTCTCAATGATGCTCATCTCCCACTGGGTTTCAGGCAACGTGACTGTTCTCCTGATGTTGCTCCCGCTAGGATCCCTTTCCTGTCACCTTTCCGTCTTCTGATACAGCATAATCAGAACCTCTACAAAGTTCCTGAGATCTTAACTTACCTGGCTTCAAGCAAGCAGCTTGGATTGATATCTGAGGAGCGCAGTTTCCAGCAAAGTAAGATGTGTCTGCCTCAAACCCATAAATCGTACCTGGCACCCCCAGCTGAATGATGCACCAATCATGACCTAAGACGCAAAGGAAGGACCTTTAAAATGCAACACCCAACCAAAGTTAATATATGTAGATTTAGGAAATTTCCATCCTATTTATTTACAAGATTTCTTACCCACCTTTCACCATAATCTCAGAAATTCTCTCAGAAAAGAAAAGTCTTCTAAAAATAAATAAATGTCGGTTCAGCTGTTTTACCTGGAATGCGCTTCCTCCTGGTTTCCCATCCATCCCTCCACTTCCCAAACTCGGTGAATAGGTCTGCATGATACGCTGGTCGTTGTTTCTAAGCAAACATATATAAAAAAGATCAAGGTAGTGCTTGCATTATGCCCTTCATTTTAATAAGGTTTAAAGCTGACAGAATGTTTATATGTTTATAGTAGGTGCTTCAGAATGCCTTGATTCGGGGGTTTTGTGTTCGCTATGTGAAATGAACCAAATTAAAAGTGAACTGGGCAAGAGGAGGGCTAGTGGGCTGGCTAGACGCCTATGGCCATTCCCTTGAGATTGGTGTCAGTCTGAAAAAGGCCTAGCACATGAACAGCAGCTACCATATAGTGGTGCCATTGAGGATGGAATTCAATTCAGAAATGTGGTGGGCTACAACCCCAAATGAAGCAGAGCTAGTTTATAAGGGGAGCCCTTGTAATGTAAGGCCATTTGAAATAAGTGACGTTGCACACCAGTACCACCTAAGAGACACTCTTCCATGTACAGCCATTAAGGCCAGAGTCTGAAAATATCTAACTACTGTATATTATCACTACCACAACTGACCAAATGCTTATTCTTATACAAAGGAAAGGAAACTCTGTAGTGTGTGCCCCCCCCCAACTTTTCACAGCTTGGAAAAGGCAATTGTGAAACAATACCTTAAGCGTTAGAATGTTAATTGGCCTTTATTTATCTATTAAATTTATATACCACCCTTCATCAGTGGATCACAGTGGCCTTTATCACCAGAATACATCTGCAATCCAAAGAAGAGCCATATAGATATTGCATACCTACCTTTAAGAGATTTTCTGCAGGAGCAAAAAAGTCATCCGTTGCAAATAAAACCTTTACAAAATAAAAAAGAAGCATGAATTACAGCTGCAATTTACATGTAACTACTAATTTTATTTTACATGCGACATTGGAAATCTCTCTTTGAGATTAGGCAGGCTGGTATGAGGGACAGGGCCTTCTCAGTGATGGCCCCCCAAGTTATGGAATTCCTTTCCCTGAGAAATACTATCAGCCCTCACCTTGGTTTTTTATGTGAGCTCTAAAACTGCATTTGTTCACAATGACTTTTAGTGCGGGGGGGGGGGGTTCAATGAGTAGTGAATTCTGTTTTTTAATCTTTACCAGAATTGCTTGCTGGATACATTGGATATCTTGAAATGAATCAAATGCTACAGATGAATTATTATTATTATTATTATTATTATTATTATTATTATTATTATTATTATTGCTATTATACTTATCATGTTCTATATTTGATATGGTTTTTAATTGCTTAAGGTGCTGTAGGATGATATCCAATTGCACCAGCTTGCTCATGCCGCATAACACAAAAGGCAAATCCAATGGGTGTCTTGTATGTGAGAAAGAGGCTACACAAATCCTAGTTCAACTGCTATTATTATTGCCTCAATAACACTTAAACTTGTGCACCTGTGATACCATTTGCACAAGAACATCAACATTACACTTGAAAGTGTGCAATTGTGTTTGTAGCCCTGCAGGAAGGAGCTGCTTTTGATTTAATATTTTATGCAGCACTTTTATTTGAAAATGTTATCAAAATTAATTATGGAAATCTATTGTTTTTTACCAAAATATTTTCAAACAGACTAACACATCTTGGCATCATAATAATTAGGATAACAACTTTATATCTCTAGAAGTTAGATTTTAAAAAAAATAAATTTTCAAGATCCCTGCACCAAAGCTAAGCATCATCTACTTTTATGAACCTCTCTTGTTTCGGTGAATTTCTTTGAATTTACCTTCCCTCCTACAGATTCACATCCCAAGTCATTCAGATGCAGGAAGTCAGGTAAAACATTGCCCTTTTTTTCTGAGAGATGAACAGTCATCTTTCTTCAAAAGATCACACTGAATTTTTCGTTTTGTTAAAAATATATTACCGTACTCTTCTAAAAGGGAAGAGAAATAAAGTAAATCAAAAAACCCCACCTTGTCACATTAAGCTCCCCCTTTCTTAAAAGCAAACTTGTAATTTGATTAAATAAATAATAGTGATCAAATAAATAACTCCAGAATTTACTGGCTGGAGGAACACAAGGCTACTACAGGTACGGATATTTTCTCAGTACAGGCACAACCCACAATTTGTGTGGAAAGGAAAGCAGCATACTGACTCGCTAATAACAGCGATATGTGACCAAAAGGAGCAGGCAAACGCTGGATCAAACAGCAACTCTACACCACTATAAATGGTAAATGCAGAATGGCCCCATGTGGCTGGCCTTCTGGAGTTCCCTTTTAGCTGTGGCCATTAGAACTGAAGTATCATTTCACCTCATGGATTTAAATCCTCTTTGAAACCCATTTAAGCCAGTGGGCTGTGTCGCCATATCTTGTGGCAGCAAATTCTGTACATTTATTGTAATTTAACAGCAGTTCTGAATCTATGGCGCACTGGTTTAAAGGGTGACCCCCCACTTTCTAGGTTTAAAAGAGAGGGAGAACAGTATTTTCTCTACCTACTTCGTCAAAACCATGCGTAATGTTCTAAAATTCTATTCATGATCATCTATTTGTTGCCTTTTAAGAAAAGGCTTTCCTCCTATGAAAGAAATTCTAACATTTGCTCATTGGGTTTGCCCTTTTCTGCACCATTTCCAGCTCAATTATATTTAATTTAAGTGTGCCCAGCATTCCACAATTTGGCAACTCAATAGGTAAAGGTAAAGGTACCCCTGCCCGTACGGGCCAGTCTTGACAGACTCTAGGGTTGTGCGCCCATCTCACTCAAGAGGCCAGGGCCAGCGCTGTCCGGAGACACTTCCGGGTCACGTGGCCAGCGTGACATCGCTGCTCTGGCAAGCCAGAGCTGCACACGGAAACGCCGTTTACCTTCCCGCTAGTAAGCGGTTCCTATTTATCTACTTGCACCCGGGAGTGCTTTCGAACTGCTAGGTTGGCAGGCGCTGGGACCGAGCAACGGGAGCGCACCCCGCCGCGGGATTCGAACCGACGACCTTTCGATCGGCAAGCCCTAGGCGCTGAGGCTTTTACCCACAGCGCCACCCGCGTCCCCCGGCAACTCAATAGATTTATATAAATGTCTTCCGATGCTGGCAGTTTTATTTTTAATCCCTTTCCTAATGATCCCAAGTATGGAATTTCCCTTTTTCACAGCTTTCTTACATCCCATCAGTATATATATGAAGTTGGAAATCGTTCCCCCTAATGAGTGCTACGTACTTACTTGCACTGAATCTTGTTTGCCATTTTGTTGCCCAATTATTCAGTTTGGAGAAATTATGTTGGAGCTCTTTCCTTGAGTATTCACCTGAATAATCAAGTGTCATCTGCAAATTGGCTACCTCACTGTTCACTCTTTACCCCCAACTCATTTTTGGATGTTAAATAAAAACACTGGTCCACATCCACAATACAGATCCTTGTACTGTTCATTGCCTACTTGCCTCCATTTTGAAACAAGTTTATTCCTTCCATCTGCTTTATGTTTAGCCAGTTACCGAACTAAAAGAACCAGCCCTATTTACCATGTTGCTAGGTTTAGCCTGCAACCCAACCCCACTTACCTGGGAGTAAGCGCCTCAGAATTCAATAGGACTTACTTCTGAGAAGATATTATTACTGTTTCAGAGTTACTCATGAGTCTTTTGTCAGTATCTTTTTTCAAAGTCCAAGCATATTATGTTTATATACTTGGACGTCCTCCTGACCAAGTGGAACTGCTGAAAGGTTGCAATTTCTTTTTTGTAAAAACAGTTAAAAGATTACTTTTATTCAGTTATTAATATAAAACCATGCTGATTTTTGTTTTTAATTACAAGGTGGCAAATAAGACGTGATTAATTGTGCTACCATAATTATTTCAATGCAGAGCAATGGCAGTTCAGTTGTAAAAGCTAGTGCTATATATTCTAATAACTATATGCTAATCAATTACAGGCAAAATAGCCAAGTCTTGGCACACTAGCAAAAATGGGAACAAAATAGTTAAATTATACTGAATTGAAACTTTGCACAGTTCACTGAAAAACATGAAATATGGACATTCCTGTGGATATTTTTAAATAATTCAGTCTAAAATATATTTGCCATAACATCTTAAGAGAAATGAATAAAAATCAATTAGTCTTACTCTATTAGTAGTTTTGGTCCACGACAGCCGCTGCACTGTGAAGAGACTAGTGTTTCAAACGGATTGGTGAACAATCCCCAATAAGCAGGTTACACAACCAGTAGACAATCATTAGACTATATTGATTCTGTAAAGGATCTATGTAAACGCCCACCCCCTTCCTCAAACAAACATACAAAAAGAATGTGCAGTCTCTTTATGAATCTAAATATATTTTTTACTTAAGCAGCGCATTTTAAATTAACCTCGCAAATTGCACGAAGCATGGTGTTTTTGACACATTTTAAACTCATGTTTTCTACCGCGATCCTGGCCTTCACAAACTTTGCTCCTGGAACCATTCCTGGAATGGAAGGTCTCTTTTGCAGTATTAGCAGCACAACAGCCAGAGGATGGACATTCTCATGTAGCGTGGACTTACCTTGGCAGAAAGCCTGTAAGTAATACTGCGTGAGTGTATATATGCACAACATATCCCATCTGCTGAAACAGGAGGCTTGGGTGGTTTTTCTCCTAATAGCAAATTGACAGCATCAGAAGCTGGTCGGTCGCCAGGGCCCTAAGACCCATCAGCACTGCAAATGGTTCCCCGCATGCTCCCATTCAGTTTGCAACGAGCAATCCCTCTTGATTTGCTGCGCTCTTCCTTACTTCTTCCAAGATTGTCCAAGGTTCTTTGAATTTATTAATGTTATATTATATATATATTATTTATTCCGAGTTTGCCTCTAAAGCGGACAGCTTTTTTAAAAAAAAGGCTGGGGCAGGGGGGAGAGACTTACGTTTTACTGACATAAAACCAAAAATTGTCCAGGAGCTATGAAAAGAGAAGTCTTCATACTTCTATTTTCTCTTCTCTATTCACATGTGCCTATAAAATTTAATTGCATGTTTAAAAAAAATCCGGAAATAAATAAAATGAAAAATTTAACACAGACAAAATTCCATCAGAAGCTAGCTAAGAGCCATTAAAGGTAAAATCCAACCACTTGATGAAATACGAAATATTAAGTCAATTATATCCTCCACTGCCTGTTTTAAATGAAAATGGCTAAACTAAACAGCTTATCGTATTGCATTTCTTTTTCATTCCTCTTTTCAAGGCAACACCTATGCATAATAATGGGCTTATTTAATTTCTGCTCCTTCCTGCTGAGTGTTTTGCCTTTAATTCATCCTTATTTTTATGGCATCCTCCTCAGTAATAAGCCATGCATAGGTACTCTCTATCGTGCGCCAACAGATCTCCTGAACTGCCGCAACGGGTACAAATGGGCTCCTAAATCTATTTATATTATATTAAAACGAATGTCCAAATATTAGTTTAGTGTTAACTGTGATTTTTTTGGAGGTGACTCTTGGCTTTACTTCAATTCTTTAAACCTGCCAAAGTCTTCCAGAACTGTTTTAGGGTGACATCTTGGAAAGGAGTCAGGGTGGCGAATCCAGAGACAAATAAGCTCTCACGAAAAAGGGTTTTCCTGACTCCCTCTGCCCATTATATCCACTGCCACTCGAATGGTGTGGAATGAGGTGGAGAAGGGGCCTATGCTGAACGAATTCAGAGGGACCAGGCTTGCGCAAGTGGAAGTGCTTTTCTGCCAACGAGGACATCTCTGAATCCAACCTGAATTGGTTATTCTGCCTGAACCCAGAAGCTTGGGGCGCGCTGAGCTCAGCACACCCCAAGCTTCGGGCTTCGTGCACCTCTCCGCTAGCCGTGGGAGAGCTGTGCGACTTCACGCAGCTCTCCACGGCTAGCGGACAGCAGCCTGTTCTGGGGGCTGGGGTCGGGGGAAGCTTGGGCTTCCCCCGCCCCAGCCCCGCACCTGGGGGGGAAATAATTTTTTTTCTTTATTTCCCCCCCCCCAAAAAAAAAACACCTAGGTGCGTCCTATGGGCCGGTGCACCCTATGGGGCGAAAGATACGGTACTGGCCAGAGAGACAGCATAATGCATTAGCAGCCAGTCCAAGTGGCACTTACAATGAGAAAAACGGTGACACAAGGCTAACACCACATTTCAGATCAGTGTTCCGGCTGCCTTGCCTGCAAAATAGCAAACTCAAAGCAACCGTTTCCAGTACGGCACTAGAGGCAGCATGGTAACGCAGAGATGATTAAACTGCACG